TCACATGACCTTTGCTTCCGGTCGAAACCGGAAGTGGCTTATTATTGGCTTATTATTTAAAATTGGAAATAGATATGAACTTGCTTTCAACGGTGTTAGTCTCTGGCCAGACAATATTTTTCAAAACTTGTACCGGTGACGTCATGAAATTCTCGACCGCCCTCTAGCGGCAAGTTTAAGAATGTCCAAAATGCATTTTGAATAGATGTCTGTAGCGAAGTGTTTTGTAATCGCCTGAAAACTGGTATATATAATGACCTTCATGCAAACAACACATGTGTGAAGTTTGAAGTTGATGACGTCATCAGACCGGAAGTTACAACGAAAAGACCTTCTATTCTTCAAAAATAAATCAATCCTGAGAGATATAATCGTGAATTGTCCATTGAATGATAGCTTAAACATTGGCGTCAATTGTGCCAGGTTCGTGGCTTGTCTAATTGTTCACACACGTGACCCGCCGCCGACAAAAATACCCTTAAGTAGTCCGTCGCTCAAAAATTCAATGAAAGCATAGTGCGTCGCCGTTCGGCCACGGCATAGGGCGCGCACGCCCGCTGAACGTAGCCTGGCTTTTCGTTTGCTTTTCGCGGGCGTACATGTACATGTACATGTCCAGTTATTAGTACGTAGACTCTGAGAAAGTCTGAGGAGAAGTACTGTCGTCACGCGTGTACGACAAAAAATAGATCGCTGCACGCGTCTTCGTCTTGACAAAAAAGCAAGACAGAAAAGCGCGCATGCGCAGTTAATGTGTCATAACCGGGGTTAAGCTTGTTCACTGCATGCACACTGTGATTCGGAAAGTAGAATCAGTGCACTTGCTACGCTGTTCGTTTTGTTAGTCTTTACATAAAAAATATTTACCATAACTTAACAGGACAGTGTTTCATAAAATAGTTGTCGACCCGACCACTCTCCGTTTGTAACAACAAACGCCAAGCTCTAGTAAATCTTCTTTCTTTCCTTTTTTTTCTGGACAATACTTCTCCGCGGGTTATCTCCTAAACGGTTTACGGTATGAACTTGTAACTTTCAACATATATCGACCCTCGTCCCAAGTGGTGCATATTACTCTGACGTCATGATAACGTCATTGGGTGTCAAATTACAAGCGATTTGGCAAATTCTCATAAAAGTAACTTCCGGTCTGATGACGTCATGAATTTGAAACCTTGCCAAGTTATCTGTGGTTAATCAAAGAATATCAAGGGTCGATTTGGTAAAATTTGAACCCATGGTTTTAAAAGTAAAGAAAAGAAACAATATTTCATGTGCCGCTAGGGGGCGCCCTTTCGGATGATGACGTCATCACACTGTTTTTTTGTGTCTGGCATTCCTCACTAAACACTTTCATAATATATGTGTCAAATTACAAGCGATTTGAGAGGAAAAAGTGGCCAAATACTTTCACCTATAACTCTTAAACAAAGTGATCAATTACGTTTCAAAATTAAAACAAAGCAAAATTTCTTCCGAACGGTTTACGGGATGATCATAAAACCTAGTGTGAATTTGTACCATGTTGCGAAGATGTTATAAATTTGGTTACGTCATCATGACGTAATGTAAGGGTAAAGTGATGGAAGGGCAAATTTTTACAAAATAGTTTGAGCTATATCTTTTGAACTCAATAGAGTATCGTGTTCGTTTTTTTCTTGAGGTTGTAGACTATGCCTTGAGTAACATTTCTTGTTCCCGGACACGAAACCGCTTGACCTTTACTTCCGGTGTTACCGGAAGTGCAATAAAAACTGAAGATAACTAGGAAGCGGAAGCATTTTACTACATTTTACTACGTTTTAATATATTTGTTGGAACAAATAAGAAAGCGACTGCTTACAATAATAGTACTGCTACCACATAATTTCATCATATTTGTTCACCAGGGACTGCAAAATCACAGCTCTTATAAGAATACACCCAGGGGAGGATCCAGGAATTTGTACAAAATCACACAAAGCATTCAATACTAATATTCTAGTCTTTTTTCTGATTTCTTTCGGCGTAACTCGCATATCAACACTGATTCTTTAATTCGTACCTTTATGCAGAATTTAATATTTCGACAGTGTAGCCACAAACTTTTTTTTTCGTTATCTCAGTGCAGAATTTTAGGAAGCCCATGCATGCAAAAGACATAAGCCATTTTATTTTTGATATTGAGATAATCAAATGTTGCATATATTAAGCTCCAAACACGTCATAGAGGCTCCCTCAAGTCTACCGATTCCGATTCTGACCATGAATTCAATTGTTATATTCTCGTCCATTTTCTGATATTTTTCGCCATAACCGATTGAAATCGCGCCTCGCCAGTTTTCCTCTCATATCTGAATGCTGAAAATTAATATTTCTACAGCGTGTAGCCACAAACTTTTCTGTCGTAAACTCGGTGCAGAATTTTATTATGACCATGCAAAAGAAAAAAATTAACATAAAAGCCATTTTAGGATAAAATCAGCATATGTTGCATAAACTCCAACGACGTTAGAGGCTCCGTCAAGTCTACCGTTGTCATAAATTCAGTGCAGAATTTTATTATACCCATGCAAAAGACAAAAACAACAAAAAAAACAATATAAAAGCCATTTTATCTTAAAATTAGCATAATTCTACCAATGTCGTAACCTTAGTGCATAATTTTATTATGCCCATGCAGAAGACAAAAACAAAACAAAACAAAAAAGCCATTTTATTTTAAGATTAGCATAATTCTGTTGCATAAACTACAACGACGTTAGAGGCTTTGTTAACTCCACCAATAGTCCCAACTGGTTGTATGCTTGAGTAGCCATCCATGCAGCACCAGATGTGCGCTTCCTGATAGGCCTACAAGTCTTGTCGAGGTAGCAACAAGTTCAACTGCAGGTTGTGTGATTTTCTTTGTGAAAAACACTGGGTAATGGGTGCAGGGTAAAGGGAGGGGTAATGTGCAGTTCAATTATGATTAGGCCTAAGTCACTGTAAACACAAGAAAATATGCCAGCCCGACCACTCTGCGTTTGTAACTCAACAAACGCAAACCTCTAGTATTTTCTTTAATTTGGGTCCAGATCATTCTGACTCGCCCCATAGTAATGCGTTATTCGGCAAACTTGGAAACATGAGCCAGATAAATCCAGTTGGTTTGTTTGGCAGTACTACGATTAATTGGAAATTAATTAAAACTTTAATACATCACAACTCATTACTGGTATTTGGTGGGGGTTTTTGTGCATCGATATATACCTGCATAATGAATCCAGCTCAAAATTGATCCGCTATTTAATGCGTTACAATGTATTAAAACTGTCATATCAAAAACAAACATCTACTAGAGATTCGCGATTCGCGTTTGTTGTTACAAACGCAGAGTGGTCGGGTAGACAACTATTTTATGAAACACTGTCCAGTTAAGTTATGAATATTTTTTATTTAAGAACAAAGTATCAGGAAATTAAATCCTTTCCAGGACAATCAATTAAGTTTCAGTAAACATTCCATGTACACATACAAGTTATTTCTGGCTTGATAACGTCATTAGTCAAAACTACGGGAAGTGAATACTGATTTAGTTCGGAGTGGATGTTCATTGGGAAGTTAAATAACGTATGAAAATATTGAAAATATAAGTGTATGTATTCTTCTGGTTTGAAGACGTCACGGTGTTCGGAAGCAAAAGGTGAACATTGTAATGGTATCGTTATTTGGGTTAAGATATACGACATGGATCAAATGATAGAATTAAATTTAGAATACGATCGTTGGCAAATTCTCATAAAAGTAACTTCCAGTCTGATGACGTCATGAATTTGAAACCTTGCCAAGTTATCTGTGGTTAATCAAAGAATATCAAGGGTCGATTTGGTAAAATTTGAACCCATGGTTTTAAAAGTAAAGGAAAGAAACAATATTTCATGTGCCGCTAGGGGGCGCCCTTTTGGATGATGACGTAATCACACTGTTTTTTTGTGTCTGGCATTCCTCACTAAACACTTTCATAATATATGTGTCTGTTGTAAAATGCTTGAACTGCTTTTGAGTTGGTACAAGTTCACACAAGGTTTTGTGCTCAGACCGTGAACCGTTTGGAAGAAATGTTGCTTTGTTTTGATGTCAGGCTAACGTCTTCAATTTGAATTCACCTAACTTTGACCTTCCGGTAGACCCGGAAGTAAAGGTCAAGCGAGTTCACGTACCCGACAAAAAATGTTTAGCGATTAATGGTCTATCTGATTACAGAATACAAACATCATTGATTGTTTAGTTCAAGAGTTTTAGGTGAAAGTAATTGGTCACTTTTTCAGATAAAATCACTTGTAATTTGACACCTGTTGACGTAATCATGACGTCAGAGTAATATGCACCACTTCGGATGAGGGTCGATATATATTGAAAGTTCATACCATATACCGTTTAAGAGAAAATCCGCGGAGAAGTATTGTCCGGGGGGGATTAATCGCAACAAATCCAAAGAGTGGTCAATAATATGTTCACTAAGTTTTAACAGTGTGGGAATGGATCTTTACTTACAATATGTGTGATTTCCTTTTAATAATAATAATCAGGGCACTTATATAGCGTTCTTACACAAACTGGTATCACAACGCTTTACACAAGAAAACAATTAAAGTGTATAATACAAAATGATGAAAGGAAATAATAACAACCTATGGGGCAATTAAGTCTGGAAGAGATGTGTTTTCAGCAATGTTTTGAAATCAGTGAGGGAAGTGGCATGACGGATTTCATAAGGAAGATTATTCCAGAGGTTTGGAGCAGCTGCATAAAAAACTTTTTCTGAGATTGAAGAACGAGTTTTGGGCTTAATGAGGATTCTGGTATCGGAACTGGAACGCAGGGTACGATTCGGCTGGTACGGGGTGATGAGTTCAGTGAGATAAGACAGAGCACTGTCACTCAAACAATTATAAGTGATTGTTAATAACTTGAAAATGATTCGTTCATTGATAGGAAGCCAGTGAAGTCGTTGAAGAAGAGGCGAAACATGGTCTGACTTTTTTGCCATAAAAATGAGTTTGGCTGCTCTGTTTTGGAGTCGTTGTATGCGTTTGATGTCTTTGCTGGGTAATCCTTGAAGAAGAGAGTTGCTATAGTCAAATCGAGATGTGACAAGAGCTCGCACAACATGGTGGCATGTGGTTTCATCAATTAGGCTACGAATGCGAGACAAGCTCCTAAGATGAAAATTGACCGTTTTACAAAGTGTGGAAATATGTTGAGACATACTCATGGCAGAATCGAACACAACACCCAAATTCCTTATAGTAGGGGATGGTTTGATTATGGTATCTTCAAGCGTGAGAGAGACTGCGGGTAACAGTTGACTTATTCTTGGTTGTGCAGCGACAAACAATTCCGTTTTTGCATGGTTGAGGAGAAGCATGTTTTGGCACATCCACTTGTTGATGTCCGAGATACAGGTTGTTAAAACGGTGAGAGATTGCTCTATATCACCAAGCTTTCGGGGATCAGTGCAAACATACAGTTGAATGTCGTCAGCATAAAAATGAAAACTGACACTCGGGTGTTGTCCGATTATGTCTGACAATGGGTAAATATACAAGGAAAATAGCTGCGGTCCAACACAGGAACCTTGAGGTAAACCATAGGTAAGCAATCTGGAACCAGAGTAACCATTAGCTATCTTAACCATACACGTTCTGTTTGTAACGTAAGTCTTAAACCAGTTAATGACATTCTTACTAAATCCAAAGACATCTGACAATCTGCCCAACAAAATACTGTGATCGATAGTGTCAAACGCAGCTGACAGGTCTAGCAACACCACCAGGACAGCCTGTTGATTGTCAATAGCATGCATAAGATCACTTTTGACCCTCAACAAAGCTGTCTCGGTGCTATGGCCAGACCTGTATGCTGATTGAAATTTACAATACAAGTTATTATTCTCAATATGTTCAGTGACACGTTTTAAAACAGCTTTCTCAATTACTTTAGAAAGAACAGCAATATTAGATACTGGTCTGTAGTTTTTCAAAACGTCCTTGTCCAAGGAAGTACTTTTCAGTAGTGGTGAGACTACCGCATGTTTGAGAGTTTCTGGGAAGATTCCTGTAGACAGTGATGTGTTGACAATGGATTGGATGGCTGGAGCAATCGTGCACAGATTTTGCTTAAGAAGCCATGTGGGAAGTGGATCTATCATACAAGATTTATTGTTTGAGTTCATGATGATTTTACGCAATTCGTTGTGGTCAGCCACGACGTATCATGATACGATTCGATAACTCCTCCTTTAAAATTAATTATAATTTTCTGCCTTCCTTAATTTGACAGAAAGTAGTGTTTTAATCGTATAGAAATACTGTCTTGTAAACACACGAGACTGTTATGTCTTCAAAAGGGTGGTCTAACAATAACTCTACTGGAAAAAATAGTATTAAATGTACATTATAGGTTCATTGTTTGTTTGTTTTTTGTGCATTTTTTTCATATGAATCTACAAATTTTCTCAACTCAGCGGATAGTATACATTTTTAGAAAACAGTGAAAACGTGCCGTGTCAAGGCCAGAACCAGAGAGCTTACTGCCGGGGGTGAGGCTGTACAAGCATTACATTCACTGTGTGGACTTCCGAACAAAAGAGGTCCACATAAACCAGGTAACAGCGACTTTGTGTGGACTTGCCCACGTCCACACAGTGTTTCCCCATCTCTGGAAAACAGGTTTAGAGGCATTTTTTCTGTAGCAAAATAAAGAGCAACACTAAAGGGAATCGTAGGGGGAAAATGGGTTGAAAGAGTTTTCCAAGTGTGAGTAAACTGAGTTTTTTCACAGGTTTTTGCTTAACTACACGAAAACAAAGGAATGTCCACACTATAGGTATGAAAAAAAAAAATTCACAATTGAAATATGGCCTTATTTGAGAAAAGTTCGGTCACTGCCGGGATTGGGGGGTTTAGCGGCCCCTCCGCAACCCTGGATCCGCCACTGCATGTGCACCATTTGTGGGGGGGGGGGGGGTCTCGTAACTGGATTCCGTTGTTGATGCATGTAAATTGGGTACACTTTTTAAAGCTGCCTTCTATATTGATTGTTTCCTTTTTGAACGATACCATTTTTGGCAGAATATGGCACTATACCCATCTTTACCTTTAGCAAGGTTTTTCTAATTAAATTGGTAAGTCCGTTTTCAGGTAATTACCAAGTTCCTTTACGTGCCTTTAAGATTAATGTAATGTTCACATTTTTAGTGACAGGTACTTTAAGGTAACCGGAAGACAAAGATTTTCTCAAAATTGAGGGCAGCACATGACATCCTTCCCCATGTCACTCGGCATTGTCTGCTGCATCTAAGGACGCACGAAGAATGGTTTGAAAGTCCCGGACTCTGGCAATGGAGGAACCTGAGTGGGGAAAAAAAGATTAAAGAATCCACTTCAGTGAATCGGCTTTTTTATTACCACCCGGAAAAAAGTTGATGTTAATCACAGTGGAAGAGCCCCTATACCTTGCATTAGAATATCCGGTGAAACTATTGACTCTTGTTTGTCAATCGAAACAAATATTCTACCTGTTTAGTGAACTGGTCCTGGCATGCCATGCGGATTCTCTCTGCCGTGGCTGGGCTGTCTAGACGGAATGCTCGAGGGATGCCGGCATCCTCCCTGGCTGATTGGACGGCATCCTTGATTGCGAAGAAGATGGAAGCTGCGAGGAACAAGGGAGGTTCTCCCACAGCCTGCGAGAAAAAAAAGCAGATGCCCCTCCATTTCAATGAAGTTTCTTTCACGGTTCCATAATATTTAATTGAAATAGATTGGTACCCATTGTGGACCCTTTCTGTCTGTCAATCAAACAATGCAAACTGACCAATTGGACCACGACTTTTGGTCAGGTGACCAAGTTCAGTCAAACTCGCTCACGTGCACTTTAAGAGAAGTACGGAAACCCGAGGTGGGTTGAGTTTATGACCGAATCCGGCGGAATGGTCAATCGGAACATGCACAGGGTCTTGGTTCTTGGTTCATTCTTTTTCAATTTTTACGAGGTCTCGTTGAATCTCTGAAATTGCTTGGTGAGAAAAATCACAAACTCTGAAACATGCCTTACACTGTTAATGTTACGGGCACTTTGGATAGCATCGTCTTTCCTTTTTTTCATTGGCAGTGTTGGTATAAAATGAATTGCTATTGACCAATACGGGCACGCTGTGACTTCTAACATAGATGCCCCTTCAATGGTCACCGGATCCCACCATAGATTGACATGCATGTGCATGATGTACTGATAGACCTAGTTTTCAAAATGGCCAGCAGCGCGCATCCAGAAATAGGTTCTATGAGTAGGCTTCTTCAGTTTGTTTCTTTATTCAATCGGGGGGGGGGGCCGAAGCCAAGATATGGTTTGGGAGAGTTATAGGCCTACAATGTCAATAGTTTTGTTAACTCTTTGTATTCTGTTTTGGATTTAGTTGAGGACAGCTGCATTGACTGAGTTGTGCTGACTCGGAATTAATACAACATTTTTGAGAGTGGAAAACTGTGCCGAGTTTCCCTTGTCGGCGTTTGGCTATAGTCCTAAGTTGATTCATGCTACATTTAAGTATTAAGCTTGCCTTTGATGAGCAGATGGCGAATGGGTTAGGAGCCCTGGTCAACAGACTGACATTGAACTCGGCCGGTATGTCGCCAAAGCTGGGGATCTTATAGAATCCAGGACCAGTGGTCAGCAGCTGACCAGACGGGCTGACCCGATAGTCCTCCAGGACAAACAGGCCATAGCCCTGGACGAAACCTCCTTCGATCTAAAGAAGCAATTCGGAGAACAATTTCTAGTTCAATACCAATCAGGAAAAAGATACTTCGTCGTCATTGTTACCATCATTTCAAATGTCGTTGGGATTAATTGACGTCATTTTATATTTCAAGTGGCAACCACTATCATCCTTGTCTTCATATTTTGATTGTCTCTAATGTCTCAACTGTCATTTGTGTCACCTCAATGTGATTGTCTTTCATAGTCAGTATCTTCGCAACCCTGAAGGCAATCTCACTTTGACTTTAAAGAATTACCTGTCCCACATCGATTGCCGGGTTGAGACTGTCACCCACATCCATGACGATGTCGGTCCGTAGCACCTGGTGATCCCCAGTCAAGCAGTCAATCTCCACTTCAGAGACCGCCACACCGTACACGAAGTAGGCGTAAGGTTCTCCTTCGCATGTCTCCCAGTTGAAGTGTACATCACGCGCCTTGCCCAATCCAGTAGATGACAGACTGATGCGGTCTTTGTACGCGGCGTCGACCCAGCTCTCCCAGGTACCTTTGGGATTGTCCTGGATGAAGGGTTCCAGTCGGTGCAATAGAGTTTCACAGGCCTCCTTGACGGCCATCCCGTTGAGATCGGAGCTGAAGCTTGCTGCCGTGTTGGAGGTGTTCGGCACGCTGCTCGTGCTGGTCTCGCTGACGTGAATCTTCTCCTGAGGAATCCTCAGCGTCCTGCTGGCTACTTGGATCATCTTGGTGTGCAACCCTTGACCCATCTCGGTACCTCCATGGGAAACCAGGACTGAACCATCGTTGTAGATGTGCACCAACGCGCCGGCCTATTGGATGATACAGAAGTGGTCTGGTATTGAAAAGAGTCACATAAGTGCAGTGACGTGCAAAACTATGCAAACCGATAGCACTGTTTTATATGGGCCTTATTCACGAGTCGGCCATATTGGATTGAGAGTGATGTAAAATTTTGATTTTTGGAATTGTGTAGAGAAATGAAAGCAAGTTAATTACTAATTAATTCCAGTCTGCTTCAATGAATAATTTCAAATCTGTAATTAAACGTTCCCTTATGTTTAAAGCCAGATTTAAAAAACAAAATGACAGTAAAATAAGGCTGCATTATGCCTGCATAAATAGTCTGGCGCCATCCCATTCAACAGTTAACAATTAATGACATGCTTTCAGGGAACTCGACAAAAATGGCCAACTCGTGAATTAGGCCCATATGTGTACTTATGAATTCTTCAACAAATGTATATATTGGTCATGTAGTGAGACGTCTTTTACGAGGCACCGTACAATTGGCACACAGCCCAGAAAAATTTGTACAAACGCGCACTCAGTGCCGTGAACGCGCGAATATCAGCCCTTTTCTGCCTGCACACCAAAGTGTGAGTATCGTGTGCATAGATTTGTGCTTGAAAACCAACATTTTAGTTTCAAATGAGCGAAATTTGTATTTTCTTTACATTCTAATGTCACAATGCAAGTTCTCTGCTACCGCTGGGATAGGTGTTAGTTTATTTCATGTTGACGAAAGGGATTTGGGGTGAATTAGTCTTCGTTATCTCAAAGTTTTAATCACCGTGTGTCACATGTTGATTTATTGTAATACGACTGTTTCATGTCAGGTGCAATATGGAGGCCTAGTTCACTACACAGCCGTACACTGTCCAGGCGTTCGGGGAACTTCGGGGAACCTGATTAAAATATTAGAACCAAGAATATTAGGAACCTGGGAATCTTAGGAACCGGGGCAACTTTAGAAATACAAACTTTGTGATTATAATTTATCATTGGCAACGTTATTACAATTTATAGAGCTGGAAGTTATATGATTTTTGTAACACTTGTTTTGTGAGTTAGATTGAGATTCAGATCCAGAACTATCGTAATTGATTTTGTAAACAAGTAATCTGTAACAATTTCATGAGACCAAACATAATTTGACTCCTCCTGGTGTTTTGATTTTGTCTGTTTGTCTTGGGTTGTTCTTGGCGTCCTTAAATCTAATCATTTGAGCGGACCTCCTTAATGGCGTACCGCTACAGTAAGATGCGGACTAGGATATGAAATGTAAACTGAATTTGTATCCATACCTGATTACGGTAGTTCTGGTTGAAGGAAATACCAAACTTGGTGGGTGTGACAGCAAGACCACGCTTCCTCCATCGATTCTTACTGTGAACAAAGCATTAAGTTATCATGAAGGCAGTGGTACTACCATTTCGTCGCGGTACGTTCCATGCAAATTTCGTTTGGACAATGTATGCACACAGTGCCCCACTAAAGAATCATAATCGGCAACAATGGTAATCGGCAAAATTGAAAAAGCTGTAAAACACATTGAATCTTCATCAGCAGACTTTCTACTTGGTTTGTGGTCCTCCGAAATATTCCATCTAGGGAATTTAAACTGGAGGTGTGGTGTAGTGAGAGTGGTCAAGATTAGGTTTTGTCACTAAGAGCTTTCTTATAAAGGAGTCTGGGTTGGTAAGCGCCACCGTTGAGTCCGGGAGGTCATTCCAATTTTTAAGTGTTCTTAGGAAAAATGAGAGGCAATTGTGTCGGTCCTGGCCTGGTGGATTTGGAACTGTCTGTTGTGTCCTCTTCGTGATCTTCAAGTTTTGGGGTTGATGTATTTCGTGTAGTCAATGTCCATTAGTCCATTCAGGATTTTAAAAAAGCAAAAGATGCGGTGCTGTTTTCTTCTTTCTTCCAAAGGTGTCCAATCAAGATCTTTCTTGAACTTCATTTTTAAAATAAGTTGTGTGGTTAATTTCAATCGGCATATCATTGGTATAGGCCTACATGTCCAGTTTTGGTATTATGGAGGTTTTCTCGCGTGCTGTTCTTCCAGGCGTGCTATTGAAGTTCTTTTCCCGAACATTTTTATCCCAACTAGATTCGTAACTGGACATAATTATGATGTGTTTTAGTCTATAGCCGTCTTCTTCAACTGTTTGTCCTTGACTCATTTGCGTCTTTACCTGTTATACTGATCCACTTCGCGTCTCCGATTGTCGTAGTCACCTTTCGTGAGGCACTCATCCCAACATCGCTCTAGATTCCAATATTTCAACTCCTGGCCATAATGCGTCAGGTCCCCCTCCTGGTAAAAGTTGATGTCTCGCACCTACAAGTATACAGGGTGAGTAAAAAAAAAAGCGAAACCCAAACCTCAAAAATTACATTTCATATTTAAAAAAAAAACATACGTAGCACCAAAATTAATAATGACTGGATAGCCAAATTCATTAGCTACTTTCAGAAGAAAAAAAAATGAAATTGCTCAATCCGTTCAAAGAATATCACCATTTAAACACAATGACCCTAAAACCCGTCTCGTCCAAAAATGCGATTTCAAGAATCGTCGTCACAATTGTCTTCAAACATCACTACCGATAAACCCTCAGTTTAAAAGCTAAAAATATTCAACAAAGTCCTTTTGAAGGCCCGTCTTCAACAAAAGTGGATTTTATAAATCCTATTTTTTGCCTAACCAGTGTTGTTAATAAAGATATTGTGTACTACAGTTGTTGAAACAGTATTCTGTGTCATTTTCTTTGTTGTTCCAAATAAAACACAAAATAGTTTGGGTTTTTTGTTTGGACGAGACAGGTTTTAGGGTCAGTGCGTTTAAATGGTGATTCTTTGAACGGATTGAATATGATATTTAAATAGGGTATCTGATAGGAATAGAGTATGCAAATTACGTGAAATTTTAGTTACATTAGTGAATACGATATGTACTTTATGCCTGTGTTTTCTCGTGTGAAATGAAGCGAGCCACATATTCTTTGAACATTTTTTCTCTAATTCGGGCACTTTCTTTAGACTCACGTATATACACTCAGGTTGTCCACACGCCTGAGATTTTCTTTTGGATGTAAATGGCAGTTACGCTGCTACAGCTCCTTTTTATGTTCTGAACTTTCATTTTGGAGATATGCTTATCATTACATCACAAAATGTGTTGTCATTCTTTTGTCTATAAGTTGAGTCAGAGCCAAGTATCACGATACATTATTTTCGTATCGCGATACCGCATCGCGATGTATCGCTACATCCTATACTCTATGGTTTGATGCGCACATGTTTTATTTCTTATACCTTGATCTGCGTCAGTCCACATTTCAAGGCGATATCTGACATGATCGTCTCCGCCACCAGCATGGCCTGGGGGCTTCCGAACCCCCGGAATCCCGTGTTGGATGCCAGATTGGTACGGCAGAGGATTCCATTCACGCTGACATTGGGGCATTTATAGCAGTTGTCCATGTGGAACATTGTCCTTTCCAAAACCTGAAAGTAATCAATAATTTCAGACTTTATTTGTGTGCTGAATAAACATCGTTTAGGACAAAGATGTGACCGTCGTAGGCTAATTAAGTTTACAAAAAAAAAATCATGCCATCCAAAAACTGTAAAGGATGTTCACGAATCGATAAAAAAACGTATTTGGACGTATTTAAAGTATCCATTAAAATAAGACCAATGAATATTGAATGATAAACTAAATATTCACGAGAAATTAAATATCCAGCTTGGCCGGCTCATGCGTTGTCGATGTGTAACGTGCCACTAGTCTTCCGGACACGTCAATCACTATGGCCGGGTGCCTCCAACTTAGTTCTGCACGACGTGTGCATCCAAATTGTGCTAAAAAAAACCCATATGTTTCCTAAATATTAAGTTCACATTGCCGGAGCTTCCTGGATTTGTCTTGGGTAAAATCACAAGGTGAGGTGAAAATTGATGTGTTCGGCGGCAGGTAAGTGGTGGCCTAACTACTATGGAATTCTTCCCGCATATTCTTCCCGCATAAAGAATGTGTTGTATTTTATAACACGCCATCGTTAAAACAAAAATCTTTAACGACATGTGTACAACCGTCACAAAACTATGATCTAGTCTTACATTGACTGAAAAGTCGTAGGTACTCCCAGCGTTGGAGTACATATCGATCTCCAGCGCCCTCAGTTGGCCGTAGCTTGTTACTCCTACTTTGTAACGAGCTAGGTACGGGTGTCGTGTACCTGATGTCATCATGTCTTCATTTCGATCAAGCATAAGACGAATTGGGCGCTTGACTCTGAAAAGTAGACAGAGCGATCGATTCCATGAACATGGGAATTTTTTGAAATCTGTGCAATGGACAATGTCTTGTATTTAAAGGAAAAATACAACATTTGCAAACATCAAAAAATTAAACTACCAAATCATTTTGAAATACCTTGCTTGACTGTTAGTGAATGACAGGGTAAAGCATCCTGTAAAATCATGGCACCTGGTATAGGCCTACTGTCATTTTCAAGAAAAGTGGTATTTTTGTATCAATTTCCAACGCTGATCGGCCGACCAGCGTTAGAAAAAACTGGCTTTTTTTTCAAATACTGGCCCCAGTTGACCATCGCACTTGTTTGCAATCGATTACACACCTATGAACGGGTACAAGCCAGCTAGACTGGTTCCCTGACCTTACAATTCCCCAATGTATGTAAACTGCTCTGTTTCTTCTTAAATGGAGTCAGGGAACCAGACTACAGGAAAATGATTGTTTTTCTTGGTTTTTATAGCATTTTCGAACCCAAAACCTCAAAAAAGTCAGTGTAACTATATTTGCTATATATTTCCAACCCCCCAATTCCATCCATTTCTGAAAATTACAGCAAAAGCAAATGCCTAATTTGCATGAGCAACTCGTGAACACACTGTAACACATGTGGGCCCACCTGACATACCTAGTGTCGACATTCCTTTGTCTTGGTGTAGTTAAGTAAAACCGGAGCAAAAAAAACACCTTATTTTACTCCCACCCAACCCAATTATTTTTTGAACCCATCTTTTTAGTCATGATTTCTTTGAGAGTTCGCTTTATTTTGCGACTGATAACCCTAACCCAAAAATGCCTCTAAACCTGTTTTCTCGAAAGGGGGAAACCTTGTGTGGACCCGGCTTAGTCCACAGAAGGCTCACACATCCTGCATCGTGTGTACCTTACCAGCCAGTCTGAAGAAATCCTATTGTGCTGTGATTTCAAAAAAAGTCACTGAGGTGTACTCATGGGTGTATCAACAACAAGTGTGTATGGTTCTGCATACCGGGTAATATTCGTGTGTTGTTTGATGCCTGTACATATTTTTGTGCATGGTCACGGAGTGTTTGAAAACTTTCAGTAATACATATATATTTTAACAGTTACTATTTCTACTTACGTGCAAAAATGATAAATAAGGGCATTGGACCCATCGCCAAAGCATAATATTGAAATTTTGCTTTTTTGACCTAAAATGAGAACCGATGCGTCAAATGTCACGAAACTTGACGCTAGATGTCGCAACCACCTCCCAAACAACATATATTGAGAAAAAGGTCCTTGTTTGAAAAAATAATATTTTATGTGCAAAAGTGATAAATGAGGGCATTGGACCCATCGCCAAAGCATAATATTGAAATTTTGCTTTTTTGACCTAAAATGAGAAATAAACAACACAAAATATCCATATATTTTTAAGACATCGTGTTATTTTTGAACTACGAAAGCTATCCAAAAAATGGCCACAAAAAGTGATAAAAGCTTACCTTAAAGTATTTACGTTCGATAATTCTTCAAAAAATAATGGAAAAATCAGGTCGTGCACACCATGATACACCCCGCAAGTCAAGTACGGGAAACTTGCCAACACTGTCATGACAAATATACGACCAGTACGACCTCGAAATAAATTCACTAACACGGAGAATACATACAAAGATTGATCAAGTTCCGTGAATTAACTTGCAAACAATTCCGTGTTTTTTTGGCATTTTTACGAGTCCAACCGCACCTGCAATACACCGCGCGGCTGGCATTGCATAGACTGGTTACCGCATTTTTATCGTGCCTTCCTTGGCCCGGCGGTGCGGCGGGAACACGTTCATCGCACGTGTTCTAATTATCGTCACCGCGACATCGAATTGCGAATTCGTTAGGCCTAATGCAAAGCGAACCGAAAATAACGGAGGTAAGGCCCAAACAAAAAAAGTCTCCGGTTTCTGGTATGCAGCTTGCCCCAAAAGTGGTGCGGCGACGCGGCTTTTTTTTTTTTTTTACCTGTTTTTTTTTTTTTGGCTTCAAATGTCGGCCGATGACTGCAAATGGTGCCCGACTAAACTTAGTGCACATATATGGGAGTCCAGAGAAGCCACATAAATCTTATTCTCGATCATAACCCAATCTAAAAACACCTTAAAATTGTGCAGCAGCAGAATTCCAGTCAAACCAGTGAGTTTGGCGGTTTTGAAACATCATCTTGTATTGAAAAAAAAACTTTTTCATTTTGCCGACGCGCATGGCTACGGCGACGCGCGCGCATACCAGAAACCGGAGACTTTTTTTTTGGCCTTAGGCTGAAAACAAGTTAGTAAGTAGGCGAACAAATTAATACCACCATTTTTTGACACGTTTTGTGAAGACAGAAAAAGACAACAGGATTTTTAAAATTTATTCGTTCATTTATTAGTATTCTTTTTTTTTTAACTTGCCGAAACAATGTTTAGGGTAGCGGCTTAAATAAATAGGGTGGGCCTAATAAAACTGTTCCGTCGTACGGCCGACTACAGCAGCGCTCCTACGGCTGCCGCCAATCTATACTCTGCGTCCGACCCCGATTGGAGGGGGATGAGCCGTTTTTATCGGAAAGAATGCAGGAATCAATGTGCCTGTTGCTTGCGCCACATCACTTGCAGCCGACTAAGGCAACAAACTTGTCAATCACAAACCGTTATTGCGCCATTACTTGATGAGCCATTAGCCACCTATTTATTACAGGATTATCACCTTACACAAAGCACTAGCCTGACCGTGCGGGATTAAAAACCGCAAAGGCAAAGCGCCCGAAAACAACCCTATTTTAACCGAGAAGCAAGACTGGATGTGAGGGATTAAATCCGCGAAACTGACCGCAGAGTTAATGAGCAACTCTGGAAGCCAAGTCCCGAAAAGACACCTGTTTTAACCGTGTACTTTTTGGTCCCATTATTTAACCGTGTTTCAATCGTGTGCCGGCACGGTTAAAATGTGTGGTTTCCAGATTTAACCGTCAAACTGCATTTTTAACCGTGTACATTTTCATAGTGTGTGGCCCGTGTAAACCGCGCTTGGCCTTGATGTACACGGTACGTGAACAAGGGCGGATCCAGAACACAATTTTTTGGGGGCCCAAAAAAATTTTGGTCCCCCCAAAAAGTGGGGAAAAAATTTACGGCGTTGGGTTCGGGACCCGCTTAAGGGCCCCCAAAAAAATTTGGATTCTAGATGCTCTGTACGTGGTGCGATCTGAGGCAATTTCTGACCCCAATTTTATTTTGGAAAAGATGGTGGTGTACTCATTGCCTGCCTTTATTGCGATGTCACATCAAAAAAAAAAATGGTTTCGTTTTTTTTGGGGGGGGGGGCATGGCCCCCTTTGGCCCCCCCCCCCCCCCGGATCCGCCCTTAGGTGAAGTTTTTTTTATCAGCCGAATTGGATTGGATTGGATTGGATTGGATTGGATTGGATTGGATTGGTTTGGTTTGGTTTGGTTTTGGTTTGGTTTGGATTGGATTGGATTGGTTTGGATTGGTTTGGTTTGGTTTGGATTAGATTGGATTGGGTTGGGTTGGATTGGATTGGATTGGATGGGTTTGGATTGGTTTGGATTGGTTGGATTGGGTTGGGTTGGATTGGTTTGGTTTGGTTTGGTTTGGTTTGGTTTGGTTTGGATTGGATTGGTTTGGATTGGTTTGGATTGGTTTGGTTTGGTTTGGTTTGGGTTGGGTTGGGTTGGGTTGGGTTGGGTTGGTTTGGATTGGATTGGATTGGATTGGATTGGATTGGGTTGGGTTGGATTGGATTGGATTGGATGGGGTTGGGTTGGTTGGTTTGGATTGGTTTGGATTGGTTTGGATTGGGTTGGGTTGGATTGGTTTGGTTTGGTTTGGTTTGGATTGGGTTGGGTTGGGTTGGGTTGGGTTGGTTTGGATTGGATTGGATTGGGTTGGGTTGGATTGGATTGGATTGGATGGGGTTGGGTTGGTTTGGATTGGTTTGGATTGGTTTGGATTGGGTTGGGTTGGATTGGTTTGATTTGGTTTGGTTTGGTTTGGTTTGGTTTGGTTTGGTTTGGATTGGTTTTGATTGGTTTGGATTGGTTTGGATTGGGTTGGGTTGGGTTGGGTTGGGTTGGGTTGGGTTGGTTTGGATTGGATTGGATTGGATTGGATGGGGTTGGGTTGGTTTGGATTGGTTTGGATTGGTTTGGATTGGGTTGGGTTGGATTGGTTTGGTTTGGTTTGGTTTGGTTTGGTTTGGATTGGGTTGGGTTGGATTGGTTTGGTTTGGTTTGGTTTGGTTTGGATGGGGTTGGGTTGGATTAGATTGGTTTGGATTGGGTTGGGTTGGGTTGGGTTGGGTTGGGTTGGTTTGGATTGGATTGGATTGGATTGGATGGGGTTGGGTTGGTTTGGATTGGTTTGGATTGGTTGGGTTGGGTTGGATTGGATTAGTTTGGTTTGGTTTGGTTTGGTTTGGTTTGGTTTGGTTTGGTTTGGTTTGGTTTGGTTTGGTTTGGTTTGGTTTGGATTGGTTTGGATTGGTTTGGATTGGGTTGGGTTGGATTGGGATGGGTTGTGTTGGGTTGGGTTGGGTTGGGTTGGGTTGGGTTGGGTTGGGTTGGGTTGGGTTGGGTTGGGTGTGGTTTGGGTTGGGTTGGGTTGGTTTGGATTGGATTGGGTTGGGTTGGATTGGTTTGGTTTGGATTGGGTTGGGTTGGGTTGGGTTGGGTTGAGTTGGTTTGGATTGGATTGCATTGGGTTGGGTTGGATTGGATTGGATTGGTTTGGATTGGTTTGGTTTGGTTTGGTTTGGTTTGGTTTGGTTTGGTTTGGTTTGGTTTGGTTTGGTTTGGTTTGGTTTGGATTGGTTTGGATTGGTTTGGATTGGGTTGGATTGGGTTGGGTTGGGTTGGGTTGGGTTGGTTTGGATTGGATTGGATTGGATGGGGTTGGGTTGGTTTGGATTGGTTTGGATTGGGTTGGATTGGGTTGGGTTGGATTGGTTTGGTTTGGTTTGGTTTGGTTTGGATTGGGTTGGGTTGGATTGGTTTGGTTTGGTTTGGTTTGGTTTGGTTTGGATGGGGTTGGGTTGGATTAGATTGGTTTGGATTAGGTTGGGTTGGGTTGGGTTGGGTTGGGTTGGGTTGGTTTGGATTGGATTGGATTGGTTGGGTTGGGTTGGGTTGGATTGGTTTGGTATGGTTTGGTTTGGTTTGGTTTGGTTTGGTTTGGTTTGGTTTGGTTTGGTTTGGTTTGGTTTGGTTTGGTTTGGATTGGTTTGGATTGGTTTGGATTGGGTTGGGTTGGATTGGGATGGGTTGGGTTGGGTTGGGTTGGGTTGGGTTGGGTGTGGTTTGGGTTGGGTTGGGTTGGTTTGGTTCCGGTTTGGTTTGGGTAAGTTCGGCGGAACCCGACCACTCTTTGGATCTGTTACGATTAATCTTCTTTCTTTCCGAGTTTCTTTCTTTCTTTCTTTTTTTCCGGACATTACGTTTCCGCGGTTTTTTTCCTAAACGGTATATGGTATGAACTTTTAACTTTCAATATATATCGACCCTCATCTGAAGTGGTGCATATTACTCTGACGTCATGATTACGTCATCAGGTGTCAAATTACAAGTGATTTTATCTGAAAGAGTGACCAATTACTTTCACTTATAACTCTTGAACTAAACATTTAATGATGTTTGTATTCTGTATTCAGATTTGGATGGGGTTGGGTTGGTTTGGATTGGTTTGGATTGGTTTGGATTGGGTTGGGTTGGATTGGTTTGGTTTGGTTTGGATTGGTTTGGATTAGATTGGATTGGATTGGATTGGTTTGGATTGGTTTGGATTGGTTTGGATTGGTTTGGATTGGGTTGGGTTGGATTGGTTTGGTTTGGTTTGGATTGGTTTGGATTGGATTGGATTGGATTGGATTGGTTTGGATTGGGATGGGTTGGGTTGGATTGGATTGGATTGGATTGGTTTGGATTGGGATGGGTTGGATGGGGTTGGATTGGATTGGATTGGATGGGGTTGGGTTGGTTTGGATTGGTTTGGATTGGTTGGGTTGGGTTGGATTGGTTTGGTTTGGTTTGGTTTGGTTTGGTTTGGTTTGGTTTGGTTTGGTTTGGATTGGTTTGGATTGGTTTGGATTGGGTTGGGTTGGATTGGGATGGGTTGGGTTGGGTTGGGTTGGGTTGGGTTGGGTTGGGTTGGGTGTGGTTTGGGTTGGGTTGGGTTGGTTTGGTTCCGGTTTGGTTTGGATAAGTTCGGCGGAACCCGACCACTCTTTGGATCTGTTACGATTAATCTTCTTTCTTTCCGAGTTTCTTTCTTTCTTTCTTTTTTTTCCGGACATTACGTTTCCGCGGTTTTTTCCTAAACGGTATATGGTATGAACTTTTAACTTTCAATATATATCGACCCTCATCTGAAGTGGTGCATATTACTCTGACGTCATGATTACGTCATCAGGTGTCAAATTACAAGTGATTTTATCTGAAAGAGTGACCAATTACTTTCACTTATAACTCTTGAACTAAACATTTAATGATGTTTGTATTCTGTATTCAGATAGACCATTAATCGCTAAACATGTTTTGTTGTGTACGTAAACTCGCTTGACCTTTACGTCCGGGTCTACCGGAAGGTCAAAGTTAGGTGAATTCAAAATGAAGACGTTAGCCTGAATTCAAAACAAAGCAACATTTCTTCCGAACGGTTCACGGTATGATCACAAAACCTTGTGTGAACTTGTACCATATGACGAAGATGTTGTAAATTTTGTTACGTCATCACAACGTCATCAGGTATCAAATTACAAGCGTTTTAAGGGCAAATTTTGACAAAATAGTTTGCGTTATATCCTTTGAACTAAATAGAGTATCGTGTTCGTTTTTTCGTGAGGTTGTAGACTATGCCGTGAGAAACATTTCGTTTTCCATGACGCAAAACCGTTTGACCTTTACTTCCGGTGGGAGTGAAACTAGAAGTTATGCAAGATTTTTTTTTTTCACGTGTGATATCTTTGAGAAAGTAGTATCCACTTCCTTTCATCCTTTGATCTGTCCAAAATCAACAGCAATTTAATATTTATGGGTCGGAAAATCTCGTCTTTTCTTTTGTTTCTGTCCCCTTCACGTTTATTTGTGGCTCTTCACTCTTTCTTCCTTGTAATGAGAAACTCCCGTTAAAATAACTTACTTATTAGCTGCGACAGCACAGATCGCCGCGTAGACGGACGATTTGGTTATCTTCCCACCAAAACCTCCACCGAGGCGCTTCACTCGAGATACCACTCGGTGCTTTGCTACACCCAAAGCCCTGGCAACCATGGTCTGGTACGAATAACAGATAAAAAAAAATAAGTAGCCTTGAATAAAATTTAAAAAAAAATTCTCTAGAAATTGTGTCCCTTTTTTCAAGTAAAATGCATTAACTTTTTGGAGTTGATTAAAAAAAAAACCAAATGCTGTCTTAGGAACATCTGCAGAAGAATGATATTATTGTTTACAACATCAGAATGTACGTTTTCAATTCATTTTTTTGTCTGCCCAGAAGTATCCACAAAACATCACGGAACAGTTGTTAGGCCTACTGTACATATTTCAACTGATTTTGTCGGATTCTCCAGATACATCAGAAATAATTACTGTTTCGTAACCGCCATGGAACCATCGTTAAGAAACAGAAATTGGAGATGTGCACATGGCTGGAGCAGTTACAAATAACAAGCCTGCGGCGTGCGATAGTACTGACATTGTCAGTACATTTTTAAATCAATTTTACCAATTACTCCGTCCTATTTGTCATCAAAAATGTCACGCTGTACAAGTTCCCGATTGAGACATAGCCAAAAAGCATTGTGAGTGCCCTTTAACCACGGTTGAACTTTTGACCCAGACCTTCTGAGGCAAAGCTCGGACCCAGGCCAACTCCAATATGATTTGTATTGTCCAGCTCCAACCACAAGGCTTGGGAAGTATATACTGCGGTTATTACTCGAAGCCTGGAAACAGGTGGTCCTCATCCTTTTGAGTTGAAGTCTAAAAGGACATGTAGTCTTAGGCTGTTATGGTTGGGGAGGCAAAAACCAGGCAGATAAAAATTGAACTTTTTTTCGCAGGGGTACTGACCAAATACAGAGTAATCTGGGCATGTATACCCTTTTTTGGCTTGAAACCGTTTTCTTGAGCGAAGAGGGCCTTTCTTCATCTATTTAGACACTATAAGAAGGGATTATGTTCTCCAAAACGCCTAATGACGGGATTGTGCTAGACCGTAACAGCCAAGTGCCATCACATACTGAAAAAAAAATCAGTGCTGTGGTGGAGTACAGGTAAAATAAAACGATAGCGGCTCGCAGGGTTAACAGTTGCTCCCAAAAATCTAGACCTCCATTGTACTATTAGTACAAACCACGTACATACAAATTAGTTTCACGTCAGTATATGTATTAATTGGTTTTCCAACCTGTATCCTAGATGGTGCCTGGGAGGCTGAGATGACCTCGACCTCCCCTCCTTCTCCCGGGATGACCAAGGTGGTAATTGTCTCCAGGTAGAAGTGCTCCTGGGCACCAATCTTTAGCTCTCCCTCGATGATGTGATCCGAGCTGTCAAAGGCTTCTTTCACGTTTCCCTTCCGGAGGCGGTAGCCGTCAGGGAAGAAGGAGTTCTCCTCAATGGCGTCCTAATAATGGAGTAAAAATAGTTATCTTATAATCTGTCCCTCTTTGAAAAACAATCAGCGACGTACCTCTAATCCTGTTGGTCGGGAGCTGGTTCTTCCACGGAACCTCTCCATGTCCGACGGTTTGGGGTTTTTTTTTTTTTTTTCAAGTGAATAGATTTTACCAAAGGGCATTTTTTTCACTGACCCTTCTTCGCTAGTTTCTTACGCCAATTTCTGCCTCGTCACGTCCATTCATTGTTATAGTTCCTAACGTTAGCACTGCGAGATATTTGTCAAATTTCATGTTTTCCTCGTACTGCCTTTCTTTGGAATTCCCTACCTCAACTTGCTTGCCTTTCTACCCACCAATCGTCACAATTCAAACGAAATGTGAACAGATACCTTCTGCAACAATGACTTCTTTGTCTGATCTTTCTGGTTTGTTATCCTCACCCTTCAGTGGTCACGGCCTTGCGTTTGGACGGTTATCCAAATAAAAAAGAACATTATTCTTCAGCACCTAGCCCTCCTTTCTTTAGGTCAAGTGATTCGGCTAATAAATACCTGTATAGTGATAACAGTCGGCAGCTCTTCGTACTCCACTCGCACCAACTTGGCAGCTCTCTGCGCGATAGCCTGGTTGTCAGCTACTACCACCCCGATCACCTGGCCTATACTATTCACCTGTTGTTGAGGGGAGATATTTCACGGATTTCATTTGAAGGTCCGCATTTTCCATAAGATACCTGAGACAAAAACTTAAGCTATCTCAACCTTGGTGATATTAATTGCGAAGATAATAGGAAGAACGACACAAGGTTTTTTTTTTTAACATCTGTTCGTATCAATCCACCCTTGACCACGTGAATTTTCATTGAACACAATCTGTTATGCATGTGTCCCTTGTGGATTATTATTTTAGATTGGGAAATGTCTATCAAGTAGCAATACCTCAAGTGTTATGTATGTGTACAGCTTTAGGTATTAAAGAGGTTGTGGAATGCTTGAAACATTTCCGTCATTTTTTGGGTATTATGTAGCCTAAGGTGTGATGAAACAAAAACGACTATTGTTTCTGTCATGAAATGAGTACAAAGGGTACTTTTGAGAGCTATTTTTCAGGTCCTGTTTCAACCCAAACGTGCAATTTGTGTAAAAGTCGTCGTTGCGGGCAGCAAACAAAACACAGTAAATCGTGACGTAATAAACAGGACTCCCGATGCAGAGTAGCATAAACGAGTCCTGTTTATTACGTCACGATTTACTGTGTTTTGTTTGCTGCCTGCAACGACGACTTTTACACAAATTGCACGTTCGGGTCGATACAGGCATGACAGGACTTGAAAAACAGCTCTCAAAAGTACTTTTTGTACTCATTTTATGACAGAAACAATGGTCGTTTTTATTTCATCACACCTTAGGCTACATATACCCGAACAATGACGGAAATGTCTTCGAGCATTCCACAACCTCTTTAAAGGCCGCCCTTGTATTTACGTACACTCTAAAAACGCTTGGGTCAGATCATAGCGAAAGGACACACCTGGAGTCTGAAACCAAATTTTCTCGGTTCTTTTTCCTGGTCAAAAAGTTACATTTCTGGGTCATTATGACCAAGAAGAGTGTCATGTTTAACCCTGAAAAGGACTGACCAAATTAGGATTCAGATTCCAGTTCAATCTGACCCAGGAGTTTTTAGAGTCCGGTGTAGCGTGAATATCCGACTCCATGAAATGTGGACTCATTGGTAGTACTGCGCACGCTTGAGTACGATACTATGCTAGTTTTAGGATCGTTTCGGGAGAGTGACCTGTCACGTGCAAGGGATCAACCAATAATAGGGAAATAGGGGTCCGATTTTCATAGGAGTCGGATTTTCATGTGACACCGGCATTCTACCTCTGGAGGCTTTCAGCTGGGTAAGGAGATACTTCCATTAATTGGGGCAAATGGGAAGAAGAAATTAAAGGTGGCCTGGAATTTACCTCTTTCTCGGCAAACAAAAGATCGTCATACTCTTGTGACGTTCCTGACATGTTGCTTCCTGGCACATCGTCAGCACTCACGTACGAATGCACTCCGTCAATTGCGAGTGCTTCAGTGGTATCAACGGATCTGACCAGGAATAATTATCAAAATGATATCAGATGATCTGAGGAACGATGAATACGTCAATCGGCTTGGCAACTAATGCAAACTGAACTAGTCGCACAGTTTTCAACTATGGCTTCCTCCCAGTAACACTGAATAGAAACTCAATACTGATTAATGTCTAGTTCGGGTTGACTTCGCTCTTTTGTATCATATTGAGCAGTTAACATTGTTGTCTCCGCAGGGACGGATCTAGCTTTCATGAAACGGGTGGGGGCGGGGTTGATATATAAGGGGGATTTAGTCTAAGGCATGCCGAAGACACGCCCTGCTGGGGGGGGGGGTTCCGGGCATGTACCCGGACAATTTCGAAATCTGCAATGCCTTCCTCTGCATTCTAAGGCAATTCGAGAATACATTTAGGGACTTTTCATTTACTATTTTTAGCATGTCATTTATTGTGGCCCCATTTTACTAGTAGACCCTAGGCCTTATCATAACATAGGTCAGCAGCTAACCCCCTTGGAACCGCTACTGCCTCGTCTGCAGTTTCAGAGAGGGGACCATTAATGAAGTGTTATTCTGAAAACTTTGTGTAACGTTATGAAAGAAAAATTACTTAAACCTGAGATAAGTCCAGTGTTGCACTCAAGCTACTTGTTATGGATCAAGTACATCACAAGTCGTGTCACGAGTAGATTCACAAGTCCAGTTATGGAATGGATAGCATAGGTTTTCCCGGCCAATTTCCCAAAAATGTTCATTCACTTCTGAAAATCGGTCATTCATTTTCGTCTGAAATTGAGAATCGCTCTGAACACGCGTTTCATTTTCGCTACAAGAGCATTCGATTCCATTTCAGTTCAATCAATTAAGTGAATGAGCAGCACCTTTCGTTTATGTCCATTCAGATTCGTTCACAAGACTTCTTTTTCGCTTTTAGAGGGCGATTTCAAACATACACCATTCTACTTTACTTTTAGTTTAATGCCATCAGCACCAGATACAATTAGGGGTTTCTTTTTCATTAACCGTCAATCAAATTAGCTGTACCTGAAATCAATTTAGAAAAGGTATGCTTGCGTAAATGAATGCACATGTAACGTAATTGACCGTCTTTTTCTCAAAACCGATGCACGGACAATGAAAACGATTGAACTATCGTTGAATTGAAATGGGATTAAAGACGTGCATTCAAATTCAGACGAAAAGGAATGACCGATTTTCAAAAGGGAATGAACATTTCAGGAAATTGGCCGAGAAAACCTATATTAAATGAATGCCTCTGTGCAAGTGTATTTGAAGGCTAGCTCGACATTCTTTCCCTGTGCTCCTCTGATACTTGTGATTGGATTTGTAAGTCAAACTATAATTCAGTTGTGGGAGTTTTGTGAAGACGTCATAACAATAACAAAATACTTAATAACATAAAAGACAATTGTTATGTTTTATTTTTCGTTTCCTTTGCAAATGTTCCTCAGGTGATTTGGAACTTACAAAATATTGGCGTGTGCCTTCTTGCTGAGGACCAGTCCCAGATACAGCTCAACTTTTAGAGAAAAAAAATATCAAATAACTCGTCAGTTAACATAAGATTACTTACGGGTAATTATGAATTATTTTAAAACGGATGAACACGACAACACACACAAAAAAACTAGAATGATTATAAATAGGCATAACTTAAATAACTGGTAGAGCATTCCTGTACCGATTTAGTTTAATGTACGCTTCAGGGTATTTAGAATCATTTTTACTACAATATGCACTTTACTTCACGAAAAACAAAATATCATTACATATATTACCATGCAGAAGAGGATGCTAGCACCTAAATATCGATACAATGTCCAGTAATAAAAACATTTCCAGTTCAGGAAACTGTATTTGTTTCACACTACTTTAAATGCATTTTTACCAACAAATAAGCATATTACAAAATATGACTTACTCTCGTTATGAGGCATGTCATCCACGTAGACAGCTTCTCCTGTGACCTGTTTGAAGGCAGATTGATGGGTCAAAGGTCGGCCGACGGCGTCTGAATCAGGTTGGCCTGATGGTACCTCCTGAAATCACGAGAGAAAAGTGATTCCTTAAGTCAATTTAATTCATCTTCATGATTTAAAGAAATAAAAGTGATATTTAACATTGATGGAACCACCACGTTCGGCTTCGAATGTGTCCCGTTGCACGATATGTAGTATTGCTTATGTAGAGGCAATATGGAAGGGGAAATTATTTTGATTATGTAAACGTTATATTTAGGTGTACTATCTTCTGGTACCAATCAGCTCATGAGTATCAATAAAGAAACACCATATCTGAACTGGGAATAAATTTTCTTCAGTAACTGAAAACGATTATAAACACAGACATTTACAACACTCCCATTTAGCTTCGATATTTAGTGGTTCGTGGGGGGGGATCAATCAATTAGAAATCATTAAAAGGCTTCGGTAGAAAAACGACTCTTTGCTCCATAAAAGACATCTAGCCAATCAAATTACCTGATACATCTGAACACCTCGCGCGGAGTTCTTATGGTAAGGCACGTTGGCTGAGCTGAAGGATGGTGGCATCGTCGAACCTCTCAAACCAGGCTGAAATTATGTTGAAGATAAATGATGTCACCAAACAAAGGTTGTATATGCAAATATTGAAGTTTAACTTATTATTTTCCCAAAATTCATTAAAGAAAAGATATTTGTAATGCTTGACAAAACACAGCGGCACATCACAGTGTAACTCGCTTAATTTTATTGTAAGCAATGCGCAGACACAGACCAGAAAAGAAATAGGTAGTTAAAACTGTTGTAAGTAGCTGCTGCTCTTCATAAAGATCTCGACTTTTGTTTGATTCACCTGTTTCAGATGTATTTGTTCCAAGACGGCGAGGTAGAACTTAAAGAAGAAGCTGAGGGTGAGTGATTGTCGATAAGGCTCCATACCGCCTGGGGCACCAGGAGTTAGAGGTAGATCCTCGAGCAGTAGAGGGGTCATGACCTCCACTAAACCATCACTCCAGGGTCTGATAAGAAGATCAAATCAATTTACGGCTGGGAGCAAGCTAGATCGAGGAGTGGTCGACTAGTGGTTGATTTGTGACTTAACTGACGCACGCGCACTAATAACAACACACGAACGTCTCCAGTCAAACGATGGTCAAAACACCATCAAGAAACTTCTTGATGCTAGCTCTTCCTGCGCACTTTGTATGCGCCCTACAGTGCCTGAACTATAGTCCAACTATCGTGGTTGAGCTACAGTTTGAGCGAAGATAGTCGAACTGTGGTTTAAAACTACAGGTCTCGCTTGCACTTGCTCAAGGCTATATCACCATACGAGCAAATTATACAGGCACCGCCAAGCGTTGGGCTCGATATGATGCCACCGTGTCAAATTTCAATGTCGCAATATTTTACTCAGGCCTATGATCTTCCTTTATAGAAATAAGAATAAAATAAATGCAATGCTTATAATTATAGCGCTTCATATCGTATCAACAATCTCAGAGCGCTTTTACAATTATTCCCCTCTTCATCAGGCCTCGAGACCACGCGGCAGCCGATATCAGCGCACATTCGGTCCTCTACCGTCACAGGTACCCATTTATACTCCTGGCTAGAGAGAGTCAATAGCAATTAAGTGACTTGCAAAAGGGCTCAAACACCATGTTCCTTTTTTAGTTATCACAAAGTTCACCTTGTTTCCGATTCACTGACTCTCTTATGAAATAGACCTGCTTAAACCTCATCTTGGCCCACAAGTTTGACTTGGCGGATGACTACCTAGACCCCCAGATCACATTTGTTTGGGAACAACTTTACTAGGCAAGTTTCGTCTCGTTACGACAATGCATGTCGCTTGCCGACATCGACAGACGGTACAGACGCCTTGGCATCTTTTTTCAACGCGTATACTTAACGTCAACACATCTTTTAAAGCACCCACAATATTTCAAGTGGTATAAATTGAGTGAAGGAAAAGCTATAATAGGCCTATGCTGGTACGACATCGTACCTTCCCATGATGTTTTTCATTGTCTTCGTAGCTAGCACTGTTGTTGGAGCCATACCACCGTACGCTATGGTGCAATCCTGTACTTCATTAGTACCCGGCTTCAAGACCACTCTCATACCAGCATTGACTATGGCGATATCATCCTCGCGACGTGGAGATTGCTTGTACCCATAGTAATACTCATTCTGGAGTGAAAAAAAGTTCACAGATGTTGTATTATTGCGTTTATCCTTGAGCAGACGTTGGAGCATAAAGTCATAGAAGTTATCGCTCATAAGGAACACATAGGTTGCTGAATACGAATGACCTCAAATATCTTTACTTTGGTTGGGAAGGTCCGAGAATGTTTCCGGTAACATATCCTTATTGCTTTTAAAATATTAATGCTACTACTTTTTAGTCTTTCTATTTCGTAGTGAATTTAAAGAACAATTTTACCTCTGACGTGAAGGGGACATTGATAGCCAAGATAATCTCGTCTGTCTTGATAACATTCTTCCTATATCCGGTGAAGAAGTTGCCGTCCATGTTCACGGTACGTTTACCTTATCAGCGAATTGAAACGGTGTGTGATAATTATTCAGTGATGCTGGATTATTTAGATGAAAATGCTAAAAACAATGTATCAATGTCCATTGGGTGCATTCATCACATCATTATCTTACCTGAGCTTGAGACAAGTTCAACGGTACACACGGCCGCCATGAGCAGCGGGTTCAGGTCGGAAATGGGACTGCCTGTTGCTATATTACCTCCGATACACTGAAACAAACAAACCCAAAGATAATGATAATGACAGTGTGGTGCTTAAATGGCGCTTGATATGAAACTTCACAATTATTACGATATCCCAGTGATGTTTAGCTGGCCATGAGACAAACTTTGCAAGTGCAGCTCGGGATCAGCGCAGAAGACTAGTAAAGCATGTTCATTAAAAACTGGTGAATTTCTATACAATAAAGTTGACTAAAAAGCTTGAAAATACCATATGCATGCAGAATGTTCTTTCAAGCAAGGCCATGACCTCAGGGTATACGCTGATTATTTCGTATTGGCTGTTTTTGTCGATTGATCGTTCATTGGGTGATAGTTACATGACGAGTTTATAGTACATGACTATATATAACGCTTTGTGGAGCGCCATGGCCTCGAGCTCTTGGGCAATGAATTCTTGGTCTGCGGGCAATTCTGCAGGCTGTGGGTTTGATTCCAGCCTGGGGTTATGGTGCCTGTGCCCTTTGGGCAAGGCACTTTGTCATTCATTGCTTCTCTCCACCCAGGAGTAAATGCGTACCTGATGGGAGGGCATATATGGTTATTGTGGTTGATTTTAACTGCTTTGCGCCGAAATGGCAGCATCCCACTGTATATACTCCCCAGGGAGCTGAGATTGTCTTTGGAATGTTTCATTGGCCCAATGAGCAGGGTAATAATGATGTAACGCCTTGAACACCAATACTGGTGAATACGTGCGCTTTTTAAGTACACATTTTATTATTACTTTGTGTACTACGGTTTGTTTCACAGTAATACTCAATAATGGACATAGCAAAGGAGAAAAAACAGAAACGAAGCAAATCTGAACTTACAGCTACGTTTCTGATCTGGTGCCCGGCAAACCAGCGCAACATCTCCACAATGGCTGCAAAGACACGCGTCTTGTGTTCTGGTAAAAGGACAATAATTATGGAGTAAATGTTCAGTTTAATGTAGAATATGGATATTTTGAAATGTTGGCTTAAACATATGGGTCATTCTATAAATTTGGGGTCCAAAGTGTGACATTTTTCCCGTCCCTGTTACCTTGGTACTTTGTAATTTGCCATTCGAGCATCATTAAAAGTGACTTCAAATGATTGTTTATTTGTTGGGTAGGTAGTTTGCTATTCATAATCACTCTTGGAGGATGACTGTATTAAGGAGTGCATCAGAATTATACAATCATAGATGTCAGATGTAACATGGACGGGAAAAAAAGTGGACCCCAAATTTTTGAATGCCCTATATACGTTTGCAACCTCTTGCTGTATATAAATAACTTACCTGGTTCCTCCTGTATGATTTCCTTCATATAGTCACCGACTGACGTCAGTGACACAGAAGCGCCAATTCTAACTCCAGAAGGCGTCTTCTCGACGCTAGTCAGCTCAGGGATGTAAGTGATATCGACGAGAACGGGATAGCATTGGTTCTTAAACTTGACTTCAACACCTGGTTAGAAAAAAAGAAAGTAACACTTTTAAATCTTGTCAATTCTTATATGAAATAAAGACGTTCAAGAAATGGTCCTGTGATTACTTCGATCGCCTTTGTTACACACTTGAGAGCCCTTGAGTACAACACCGTTGTCCTTAAAATGTGTTGTTCACGTGTTAACAATAATTATTATACAGTTTTTGCCCATAATTTTCACTTTTTAACTGTAATCTGTAAAATAATAATAATAATAATAATCACTGCAAAAAAATAAGGCGTGCTATATTTTAGCAGAATTGCTTTCCACCTACCAACTTCTGAGTTGCCTGCCACCACCTTAGCTTGAGGGTTGTTAGCCTTCAATTCCAACAGTTGTCGAAGTGTTACGGGACGGAACCAAGTCACGCGATCGCTTGCAAATTTCTGCATTCTCGGTGTCGTTTCTTTCAAAGTTATCTATGCAAATTGTTTCAGAAATGTTAACATTTGAAACGTGAAAGTTGAAAAATAATAAATGCCTCCAGACATCTTGGATCTGTTCTGACAATGTTTGTCACAGGCATTCTTCAAGTGTACGAATCTGATAGACACCACTATTAAAGTAAGCTGCAATACAGCAATACATATAGTAAAGTCCATACATTTAAAATGCACATTGCTATTTATAGTCAATTTAAGGAGTTGAGAAAGTTTAATCTAGCTACGAGTTGTAATTGGCGTAACTATGAAATAATAATACCAGAGTCTTATATAGCGCACGTATCTACCATCAATTAGGTACTCGAGGCGCTTTTAACTATATTTATTTTTAAAGACAGATAAATGAAGTTTATGAGAAATGTGAGACCCATTATGTAGCACCTTTATAAATGGTATACTAGGTGCTGCGGCGCATATTGCAGCCACTGCCAGGAACACCGGGGCAAACCCCTTCTGGGATACGATTTACTGGGTACTTTAACGTGCATCAAGTGCATCACCTGCTTGACGTCCCATCTGAAGGATGGGAGCAATAATGGTAAAGTGCCTTGCTCAAGAGCACACGCACCATGTTCCCCGTCAGGATTCGAACCCATGTACCACGGCACACGAGTCGAACACTGTAACCATTGGACCACACCGGCCCAAATACATGTAGGCCTACCTACTCAAACTCACCATCAGCTCTGGAGGGAAAATCGATTCTTGGGAGGGGTCGTAGGGCGCGAACTCGCTTGGGTCAAACATTTTCGTCGAAACCTATATGCAACATTTGAAGCAAAATAAACAGAAATAATCAGCGAAATTCTCGGTCAAGGATAAGCAAGAACGTCTGCCCTTATTAATGCACTAGGCAAGAAACAACAATTTTCATTTTTTAGAAATTGAAAGTCACCAGAATCGCCATAACTATGCGCCCGCCGAACCACTGAGCTACCGTACGTGACCAATGACTCATGACGTGCCGTCACATTTCTGTTCTGACCAATCACAGCCCCTGTGCGCAGTGGGCGGGGCTTACTGGATCGGTCCGGTCCATTAGTCGATGCGCGCCGTTTTGATTGACAGGCAGGACAAATCCATTGTGTATTGGCTGCAACGTTTCACGAAAGTGTAGTACGGCAGATATATATAGGTGATGGATTGTGCCTTTGATGATACAAGCATGGACATTGGCACACAGTTGCGTCATGAGACAGATCTTTGGCTAAAGGGCCATCGCAGATTTGTCCTTTGAACAAATATAGGTACAATAACAAGCAATGACAGCCATTTAAAAATTTTGACAAATGCTTGTTATTCTACCTATTTTTTTTTCAAAGGTCAAATCTGCGATAGTGTTATAGCCAAATATATTTTTAAGACATACTCTGACTGTGTGCCAAATTTCATGTTTGTGTCATCAAAGGCACAATTCCCCTATCTGCCCCTATATAAAGGAGCCACATCTTCCACCCCCTATCCCTTACAATCACACCTACCCCTTCCTCTTGTCCATCCACGTTACTTGGTACATTCCTACAGCATGCAGCGTTATTCCCTCCACAACATCCTTCCTGCACGGACCAAAACAAATCATCAACAAAACAATAGACTCATGTTACAAAATATTGGGTAAAGGTATTGTAGGTTTTGAGCAACACACAAAGCGAGTTCGTCTATTCAATTTAATGTAACTTTAAGAACTGATGTTAAAGGTTATCCAAATGTCATGCTCTTGGAGTACACATTCCTATAATTAAAACAAAAATGCTTTCCAGCTCTTAAATATTTAGACTGAAGTACAATCACTAAATTGATTCAATAAACGTGATATCTCCAATGTTTCTACCCAGACAATGACGTCATTTAATACAGCGCCTCATTTGCTCAAAACTGGTCTAAAGGTTTCTCAAAAGGTACATACAAAATAATGAAAAGTCAATCGGTGGGTCTATAGATGTCCGTTTTGAAGGTGGGTCTACACTTATTGTAAAAAAAAAAGGTACAGTAATTTGCAGGCAGTCGTACTCAAGTCCCCGGTTTCTGTACTTCCAATTTTTTGTTTACTCCCTAACCTGCAATGCAAACTATCGTCTCATGTTATGTAATTTTAGGTCATATTGTATGTGGAGTGCCGTGGCCTCGTGCATTGAATTCGTGGTCTGCGGGTAATTCTGCAGGTTGGGGGTTCGAGTCGAGTCGAGTCCAGCCTGGGTTGTGGTGCGTTTGTACTTGTGCATGAAACTTTGTCACTATTTCGTTTATCCACATCCAGGAGTAAACTGGGTACCTGTGAGAGCAAAGATGGTTATGGTGATTGATTTTAGCTTCTTTGTGCCGAAAACGCAGCATCGAGCTGTATACTTTCTAGGAGCTGAGATTGTCCTTGGAGTGTTTCATTGGCCCAGTTAGCAGGTTAATAATGATGTTGCGGTTTGAGCACCAGTACTGGTTGACAAGTAGGCTTTGTGAATACACATTATACATTATATCAAAGTTTGCCCGTCAAAGAATCAGGAAGTAATTGGACCTTAGTGAACGTTTTGTAGCCTTGTAAGATGGGTCTGTAGCCCGTGCAACGACACAGATTGCCCTCAAAGGCGCTCTCGATCTCCTCCATGGTAGGTTGTGGTCTGTTCCTCAGCAGAGTGTACATAGACATGACAATACCAGGAGTACAGAAACCACACTGGGATCCGTGGGCCTTGGCAAGACGCTCCTGGAGAAAAATAGAAAGAAATATTTCTAATTTGTTTTTATTCTCTGCTTAGTTTTCATGCTTTTTCCTCGATATTTTTGAGGTGCACATACCTGTACTGGATGGAGTCTGGTCGTGGTGCTGCCGATCCCTTCTACAGTTGTGACGGCCATACCATGCACAGAACAGATGGGGGTCAGGCAGGCATTCACTGCAAGGTGACTGCAAAGACAACCGGCCGCATCCCATTAATAAATAGTTAAAACGTGTTACCTGATACTTAAGGTACACATTGCTAAATGCCAGTGTACGTTTTATGGCATGAGGTAAAACATAAAATATAACCAGTCCAATTCAAACTAGTAGAGGTTCGCATTTGTTGACTTACAAACGCATATATAGTGGTCGGGCTCGCATCTATTTCATGTCATAAACTTTTGCCTAGATGCTATTATCGTTGAAAGCAAGTTCACATCTTTTTTCCACTTTCAATTAATCAGGCACATCCGGTTTGAACAGGGAGGAAAGGTCACGTGATTTTGTACATAATATCAAAAATGAAGACCATGGATTATTCTATACGTTTCTGTAAACAGCAAAATCAGATCTGTCACAGTTGATTTTATATTGATTTTCAAATACTACATCTAGAAATCTTTGGTTGCTTGTAATCTGATACTCGAGGACGTCACAGTGACGTAATCACCAGAAAGCGCGGGAGCTATACTGTGCTTTTTGAATAAAAATCTGGATTATATCTCTCGAGGTTGATATTTCAGCAATTCTTTTAAGGTTTAAAGGTATTTTCATTGTAACTTCCGGTCTGGTGACGTCATCAATCTTTCTCCCCCTCAACTTGTTCTTAGCATGAAGCTGATTATATACATCAATTACAAAGTGATTACAGCAATCTTCAGAGTGATTACAGCAAACTTCAAAGTGATTACAGCAAACTTCGCCACTCGCATCAACTGATTATACACTTTAAACAGTTTTCAAGGTGCCGCTATCGGGTGCTCTGACATGTTATGTAATTTGTTTCTAAAGTATACAACCTAGCCAGATTCTAACATCGTTGAAAGCAAGTTCACATCTTTTTCACTTTCAAATTATAAGGCACTTCCAGATTGGACCGGGAGAAATGGTCACGTGATTAGCAGAGACAAGATACAATGAAGATCCTGGATTATTCTATCAATTCCCGCAAAAGTCAAATTCAGGTCTCTCACGGTTGACTTATATTGATTTTCAAAGATTAAATCTAGAAATCTTTTCCCATCCATTAGGGGAAGTTCTCAGTTGTTTGCAAGTCCGATGAGCCATATGGACAGACTTTACTTGGTGATAATACTCTTACCTGATAGTTTTGTCCTTGGGTGAGTATTTGGACACCATGATGGTACATGCCCCACAACCTCCTTCCCCGCATCCTAGCTTACTACCAGTCAGACGTACTTCTCAAAGTCAAGGAACCTACAACAGGTGTTTCTGCCGGTATGCTTTCATTTACTGACTTAGGTCGTATCCGAATCACTTTAAGTGGCTAAGGCTAGTTGTCTAGGTCCTTCGCTCGTACCCCCCGCCCTGCAAACAGGACGCTGGGATACTCTGATGAATTCACGCTCTGATTGGTTGGATTTTGCGCGACCAGTGACCTGCGCGTCATCAAGGTCATGACTCTGCAAGGTTTGAAACGGCCGTTAAGACTTGGATTCATTACTCTTTTATTCCAGTTTAGAGATGTTTTTTCTCAATGAAAAAAGCGTAATAATGTAGGAAATTCTGTAAAACTTATCTGTGTTGTAAATTTACAATTCCCGTCACTCGCTCAGGCTCCTTTACGAGCCACGAACGGTCGGATTGCATTATGCGACGCTCAAAATGTTGTCCACATGGTCCGCAATGAAACAGAAATCACATCAGGTATGAAATGTGCGTAATTCTATGGGAAGTTTCGGATAGCATTTGAGCACATTGTCTAAATGCGGTCTTGAACAGCTGCAGCCAGATGCTTTATACATAGGTCATAGGCCATTTCCTACACAAGATTCTGTGAAGCTCATCAGAGTAATATCCCAGCGTCCTGTTTGCAGGGCGGGGGTACGAGCGAAGTCTAGGTCCTCGTATTGCAACTACGTTGGGGAAATTTCTGACAATAAACGTAGCCGAAGCTCTGGAAGTCCGTTTCGGACACAACCTATAGCCTATGGTGTCCATATCGACGCAGACTGCGCAGACAGTGCGCAGAATCGTCAGCATGCGAGATACATAGTTTGCGCCTGTCTGGGTTGTCGGCGACTTTTCCGGATGAACTGTCTCCATTCTGTCTGCGTTGCAGTTTGGGTCTTGTTTGCGTCGCTCTCTGCGTTGCTTATGTCGATATGGAACATAGGCTTAAAGCCTGGTTTCCATATCGACGTTAAGCTTACGCAGACTGTGCAGACAGTACGCGGAACCGCCGTCGGCAAAGTTTAACCGATCGTCTGCGTGGTAATTTGCGTCTGTCTAGGTTGTCGGCGACACTTCCGGTTGAAATGTTTTCATTATGTCTGCGTTGCAGTTTGGGTCCTGTTTGCGTTTCACTTTGCGTTTTTTACGAATCGATATATGAAAACTCACTCACAAGATATCATTCGTGCGAAGCGATTTCTATTCACTCGCTCGTAATAGAGAATATCAGGCCATTAATTGGCATCTAACATTATATGTGCGCCAAAAATACTCGGTTGTTCTCCGTCTAATAAATAACTGGCTATCCTAGAGTGCACACTGACTAACATGCTTGGAAAGATTCCCATGATCTGGCCATCACTTAGTTTCCCCTTAAATGACCTATCAGCCATCAGAAAGTGATAATATGCCATAAAAAGTCAAAATTAGCAGTTACAAATTTTTAATTTTTACTGAGAAAGACCAGTCCCATAGGGTTTATGCACAAGGTAAAAAGTGATAGCCAAGAATCTTTCCACATGTTTACATAAACAGTATACAAACTATACATTCCATTATTTGCGTAGTGCATCATCACTATATAATCAATTTGGCCATTGATTATAACCTTGGTTCAATAGTGGCGTCGTTTAAGTTAAAATTACGTCACACTTACTAAACGGATGGGTTTCAGCCATTTTAAATATCAAGAAATATACGTGCGTCGGAGAGCATCATCTGAATAAAAAAAATCTAAAGATATTATGCGCCCCCCCCAAAAAAAAAAAAAATTATAAAAAAACAATGTCAACCAAAATTGTGAAAAAAAAATTATGGAAATCGACCGAAGAGTTTATAGGATTAATCAGAGGAAAAACCTAGCTCCCACGTCCTGAGAAGATTTGCAAACCCAGATCGGACAGGTTCAAAGGGCATGTTGATCTAACCACTATGGATCACGTTTTATACGTCAGATCATTGTCGTTGCCACCCGATATATGCAGCGAACAAATATTAGGTAACAATCCTGGATTTCTGTGCAAACGAATCAGATAACAATTATCACGGACTGGATTTCTATGTAAACTACGGTCTCGTTGTTGATCGTCGCACTGCTCTATGCACTCACACATACTTGATTAATTGACTTTCTTATATTATCAGCTGTGGGCCACACACCTTTAAATTAGATAGGAATATTGGTTGTTAGGATGTGGAATTTGCTTTTTAGGTCACACAAAGATGGACTTTGCTTCCTGCCTGATTAACGTATTTTTGATGCAAACATAAAAAAATAACTGCGAAATCATTATGACACTTTAATACCGTATTTGACTGTAAATAATGGCACTTGGTGTGCTGTCATTTTTAAGAAAAGTTAAATTGTGCATCAATTGCTAACGATGGTCGCCCGACCATCATTGGAGAAAACAAAACCTGATTTGTTTTCGTCTACTGCCCCCAATTTACAAAATCTAATTCTGATGACAAGTCAGCATTTTGTTTGCAATCGCTCAACAACTGTCAACATCTGTAGACTGTACTACAGTACACAATATCTTTATTAACAACCCTGGTTTAGCCTAACAATGTGATTTATAAAATCCACTTTTCTTTTAAAAGACGGGCCTTCTAAAGGACTCTGTTGAATATTTTTTTACTTTTAAACTGAGGTTTAATCGCTTGTGAAGTTTGAAGACAATTGCGACGACGATTCTTGAAATCGCATTTTTGGACGAAAGAGGTTCTAGGGTCATAAGTTTAAAAGGTGATGTCCTTTGTGAGCCAATTGCGGTAATTTATTTTCATCTAAAAGTAGCTTATGAGTTTGGCTTTCCAGTCATAGTGTTTGGTGCTACACTCCTTTTTCTAAATATGAAATAAAAATTTGGGGGTGTGGGTTCCGCTTTTTTGACTCGACCTGTCCAACTCAAATAAGGTTTAGGCCAACATTCTGCAAAATAAAACTAAAACCCATAATGTGTTCCCGCCAAAGCTGCAGAACTATACAAGCAGCGCGCGAAATGGAACAACGTTTATTTCGAAAGGATACACTTGTTGCGAAGATACGTCAATAAAGTCATTGCTGGATCCACATGATGATCAACGACCTGTATTATTAAAGATGAAAATATCTTGGACTTCAAGTGGTCTGATATTTGCATTGCAAGGCTACATCTTTTGTACTTTTCAATATTTTGTACTCTTTGCATACAACCAAAATCACAACTGTGTGCCATGTCTATTTTTCGGCTTCACACGGTTACACCTCTATGTTCCGACTCCATTCCTATTCCTAACCCTAACCCTAACCGGGAGTAACACAATGTTATGTGCGGGTACGTTGTCGAAACATAAAGGTGTCGGAACATAATAGTGCAGTCATCGGCTTCCGCAACTCCCTTCAAAAAAGACTTCAATTTTGGAGGCACATGGAGGCAATTGCAGAATACCCCGCCACTCGATTTCGTAGCCGGGAGGTCACGGTTGGTTGACCTCAATAAACTTCTCAGCGCTACTTGTATGTACATGTACTATGCGTCCGCATGCTCCATTGCACTCCCACCTCGTAGCCGCGTAGCCGCCAACAGGGTAGTTGGTTTGGACTTAAGAATTTTTTCAGCAACTCCCATTCCTTTGGCCTAAAATGTTGCCAATATTGCATCAATACATCAATCCTTTGCCAAGTTGGTAAATGCCAAAAGGTGAAACACTTTCCATTGGTATAAAGTGCAACTCGAAATCGGGGAAAGCAAGTGTTTAGTAAATTTACTCGGCATAAAAAGAGATAAGGTATCAGAACTAAAGAAGCAGTGGGCCTACCTTTTTCCCATTGCAGAAAAATAACAGTGTGTCCACCGCATCTCCCATTTTGGCCACTGTTCTTTGGATACTGAGTTGAAGCATAGAGCAGCAAAACCCCTGGACACTGGTTTTAGATGTTCATCCGGCACTCGTCAGTATAAAAATGCGATATTGCGGGCAATGTATAATTATGTATACACATGTATGTACCAGAGCGAACCGGCTTGGACCCGTTTATCCTAGATGATAGTCAAAGCGTGATATTGATTTTCGTATCAAAAGCCAACAACCTTTTATCAAATCCTTTGAGGTCAAAAAAAAGACCCCATGTAAACCGGCCAAAAGTGCACAGCCAGATGACCTTGGACAAATAGAGATAATCTCCCGTGCATACACACTAGCACTGCCTAGCACGTGTACAATAATCAGACCCTACGCGCTGAGCCATGAGCAACGTCAAATTTTATTGGAGTTTAGATGAACAATTATTTTGTAAATGGATACACGCGAGCCTAAACCTCAACCAATCACAATAAGAGTTACATTATTGGAAAGCTGACGAGACGAAGAAAAATGATTCGAGAGATCTAAGCTCCCAGGTGGCGCTATTTAATGTTGTGATGATGTTAATGTACCAGTTCTTGGCTAAACGCGTGGTTTTACACACAAAACAGGGAGATTTTTGACCAAAAAATGCAGTGTTTAACATCATTTCGCGAGTGAAAATCAGTGTTTTATTCAGTTTTTCTTTCATTTTCTGAAAGAGTATATTGTTAGGGTCATACTGTAGTGAGATCTAAAGGTATACTCTGTCGAATAATGAAGTGGTGGCGACAGATGTGAAAAAAGGCCAGTTTTTAATGATATTTTCGCCGTGTTCTCTCATAGAGGTACGTTGCACATAAAAACCGGCCCCGGTGGGTTAGTTCCCGAAGGAATCCATATTGTTCAACCTTATCTAGTTTATTCATAGAGCAAGGAACAGATTTTACTACAATGTACCATGGCCGTTAATTAAGCAATTGTGCTATCAAGGTAGCCTTCAGTTGACCAATGCACAAAGCCCCGTTTGACCTCAGTTTCGTGTCCCGAGGTCACGCACGCATGGCCCAAAAGCCTACGCGAGATTTTACGAGACTGTTTTCGAGACTACAGAAAAACACGCAAAGTACCTGGATACATGCACTGTTTGGCCGAGATGGCTAGGTTAGTGAAAAGTTGAAATTGTGTGCTTTATTTTGATACCAAATATAACTGCTTTTGACAAAAAGAAAGTGTTGTTACGACGTGTCAAACAAAAATCATAGTTTATAGCAACAAATGAGAGGGCCGATAGCTATTAGGTGTACATTCGATTTTTTAAAAAGGCCGAAAGAAATGGCAAGGTTCATTTGATACTGGATAATAGTCTACGCTTCATCTTCATGTACGCGTGTAAACGTATAGGCCTGAAAATTGTAAATAGCACGCGCGAACGTGCAATGAATGACTCATGAATATTAAGCAGGCCGGCTATCTCGAGCTCGACCAATCAGTGGGAATTGTGGAGTCACAAGGTCACCATGTCTGGGTTCCTTAATTGCTCTGGTTCTGGTCGTTACGCACAGGTCGGTACGGAAGCAACCTCGTCCCCAGGGTGTCGAGCAGTACGCGCCCACCACTACCTGCTCTCTCACCCTGGTATTGGATCATTTGCATGTGCAAGATTTTTGAACACGTATGCAAATTAGGAGAAGTCTGGTGCCAGCCTGTGCGTTACATTTGCGTTTGTTTTTGTATGCGGTGTCTGGGGTAAAAACAGAATCAATTCGTCGCAGCGCGAGGCATGGCGTGAGTTACGAAAACATGATTTTATTTTAATTAAACTGTAACGATCTTAACGAGACAACATACAGTATCACATTTCATATTAATATTAACAAACTGGAAAGGAAATGAATATTTTCGAGAAGGCGTGGACGAATGATCGCGAAAACACGTACTGCACGTTGTGAATAACAAGTACACGATATAAATCCATTTCTAGCCAATGGCGGTATCGACTTCGGAATCAGGATGCAGGAAGTTTCCTATCCAGGGTTTACTATTGGAAACAACGTTGGAAATAAAGCACTGGGGACGAGGTTGGTACGGAAGCGTATAATATATGTATAGGTCGGAGTGGTTGGCGCAGTGAACTAAATTTTAAAGTGGGCCTTCTACTTCTAGGTGCTCAATTCCCTTTTTAAAAGCTTTGACATTGGGAGCAGAGCGAATGTTGGGTGGTAGTAGGTTCCATTCCCTTGTAGTTCTTGGGTAGAGTGGATATTGATAGCACAGTTTGTTGAAATTTGGCGAGACAATGATGTAAGGATCGAAGTTCTGTCTTGTTGCATGATTGTTGTTACTCAGTATTGTGGACTTCCTTGCAGATTGTTGTGGGTGCAACCCTGCAATTAAATTCCCATAGACACTAGTGCTAAATTCCCATACTTCAAAATTCTTTTAAAAATACTCAAAACTCGCACAGGTATTCAAGCTGCACAGAAAAATGATGATCAACATGTCATCTTTCGTTTTCTTTTCATTTTTTGTGGGTTGACCATTGACTTTTTGAGATATTCTCACCCAAAGAAGACGACCCTATTTTCCCCAAGGCGGAAAAGTAGCCATCTTGAAAAACGATCCCTCCACAACATGGCAAAATAGCGCCACTTTCGAGCCCAATAGCATCCAAAATGTTCAGAATTGAAAGCCCCAAGTCTCTTCAATTCCCCAATTTTACGGCGCTCAGAACTCTCTAATAATAATAAAGAATATTTTGAGGGTATATACTTTTATTCATGAGCTCGGCGGATGGATTTAGGCCTATTTACCGGTGTGCACCCTTGTCAGTCGTAGTCGGATCTGCGTAGTTCGAGGGTGTCCCACTGAGAAGACAGCATGCTGTTAACCCTGGATCTCCGCTTAATTGTAATCATTACATACGAAGCGCTAGCGCGGGGCTGCTCGCCGTTGTACCTTCTCCAAGTTCATCTTGTTGTTGTTGTTGAAGGGATCTCATGCGGTTCCACAATACATGTACATTTGTACTCCAGTTTGGGTCTTACTAATGACTTGTATGCGTTCTCTTTGACGGATTTACTGCATTCGTGAAGATTTCTTTTAAGAAGGCCGAGCGTTCTGTTAGCTTTCCCAGTCACTTGATTTATGTGTGTGCGCTTTTACAATGTGCTTAAAAAGTTTTAATAATATGGCGACGATCTTTTCGCGTTATGAAAAATCGAAGTTGTTGAAAACATTAGGTGCACATCGAATTCTTAAAATATTTACATTACGTTCACGTAATAGATGATGGTTCATTCTTTCCTGTGATTACTCGTCGTTGTCGAATAAAAACGGAAATTTCATCACGTAATTTTTAGTCGATTTGTCTGTGAAATAATATTGTCAAAATCCATCTAATTCCTTTTTTTTTTTAGAAAAAATACTTTGACAGATGTATATGATAGGTCTTTAACTACCTAAAACAGCTTTGTTTGTGTGGATCGGTTGTGGTCTGCCATGAAAATCGCGAATTTTCTGAAGCCCTTTTTACGGCCATCGTTCGCTGGCCTCGCGTTGCTGTCAGTTGTGTGGACGAGAAAATATCTAGAGCAGTTTCACGCGTGACACAGCAACTGACTGTGTGCGTGACACGGCCACTGACGGTCCGTGTGACTTCCACGGCAATACTGTTCGTCCGTGTACAGTGTGTCCGGGCCGGCGCGGGGCGTATCGCACAGCTTCCCCCGCCCCCCCCCCCACCCCCCAGACACGTTCCCCTGTGATTTTTTGTCAATTGTTCTACTATTGTAGTAATGATCATTAGTGCTACTTCAGACAGTCATTAACAAAGTAAGACACACTGAGCAATTTCATTTCGAGAAAAAATCCACACATTTTATTTTTATCGATAAAGTACATATGCAAACAATGCTCATAACATGAATAACATGAATGACTACATGTACAAGTACCTTCAATTGCTTGATTGTACATGCACTCTTAAATAACAGTGGATAAGCCATAAACAATGTGTGAACAGTGGAGAATGGTTTTTTTTTTGGGGGGGGGGGACTTTTCATATTAACACCCCTATCTCTGAATATCCTATTTACAATTACAGTCAGCTCATTCATACAAAAAATACTGTACAGTCAATTTCAAATGAGGCCCTAAAACATGTAAAACAGGGAATAATAAACTGCTTTAAAATATTACATACATGTACATGACTGTATATCTACAAGATCTACAAAAGAAACAAATGGCCAATGGTTTGCAATACCGGTACATATAAGTGAACTCTTTGTGTGATTGAAGCAGATTTGCTGTTAAGGCTGTGCATCGGAACCGGGTACCCAAGTACCAAACTGCCCAAGTTGGGGACCGGTTCCAGATTATGGAATTCAGAACCGTAACAAGATTTACCAATGGAGTACCGAAGTGTGACGTCATTTAGAACCAGAAAGTGTAGTGCAAACGAATGGAGTACGCGCGCGTGTTGGTTCACAGGCTGAATCACGCGCTTAATGTCTTTTACACACATTTTGTGCGCGTGACGTTTTCACTTCGGTACTCCATTACAGTAATTAGTAACTTGTCAGATGATGTAAAAGAAAGGTTTGGATGTCATTTATGGGTTATTTTCAGAATGGAAACCAGGCCACATGGAAATGGAAAAACAAAGCAGATTCACGTTTTAAGACGTTTACGAAATTGCAATTTACATTGTAAAGTTCAAGAGCTCACTGTACACACTTGTAATTTCTGTACTGACGTGATACCTGTAGTATTTCATATGGACTTCTATAAATAATCTGTACAGCAACTTCCGAGATATAAATTTTGGGGTTGGTTTTCCCAACAGGTACCCGGGTACGCGTCTTTTTTTCAATCGGGTACCCGATTCCTATACCACCCCTATGCAAACCCCTATTTTGCTGTTGATTCAGTTGATGAGCACAAAGGAAAATGGGGAAGAATTCGATACAAGGACATCACTAATTTTCCCCTGCAGTGTCTATCAGCCATCAGAAAGCGATAACATGCCCTAACAATTTAAATTTAGCAGCTAAAATATTGAAGCATTACCGAAAAAACTCCTGGAATTTTGCAGAACAGTCTCATAGGATTTGTGCACAGGCTGTCAAGTGATGTCCAGGTATGGAACTCTCTCCAAAAAGTGTTCACCATGCTTTAAAAATATCAAAATACATCATGAAGTTTGTTGAAGACTCGTGTCATTTCGCACGACATTTCGGGTATCACTTTACCCTAACCTTCCCAAGTCCTCCCGAATCCTCTTTGCAAAATGGAGGGTTTTGCAGGATTGAGGTTACATGGCAAAAGTCTGCTGCTGATTTCGGAGGACGCACTGTGTCAAGGACTTGGGCCGGACCTTGTGTTGTTTATGCTCATCCTTGCATAAATTTAGGCCTACAATTATACTTGAAATCCTCCGTACTGCTCCAGGATGTCACTGGCTTTGCCTCAACATACATTGTAATGACAGTGATTGCCGGAGGATTTTGCAGCATTGAGGCAGTAGTCACTCCTCCAACGACCATATTCAAGAAAACAACGGAGCATTTTGTAGGATTGAGGCTGTATTCATTTTTACATGGAGGCAATTGGGGGATTTTGCAGGATTGAGGTTACATCCTAGCAAAACTGCCTAGGGAGATAGGGTTAAATTGACACCTCTTGAGCAAATGCTAGCAAACTATACACAGACTCAACAGCTTCAACAGCCTCAAGGGATGTTTCACATACCGGAGCCGGTAATTGTTTGTCCTTCCTCTTTGCCTTCTTGTCTGTCTTTTTCTTCTTGTGAATCTTTCCTTTAGTCAGGTCCTGGTTGTAGAGTTTCACTGCGGAGTACAACCTCTCGGACATGGTTCTGGCCGTCTGCTTCAGGCCCTCAAAGCTGGCGTCGTTCAAACCCTGCTGAGCCGGCGCGCTCTTCAACCACCTCCGTAAGCAGCGGTCGCTCGGCAAGGCGAACAGCTTGAGCTTGCGATAGAACCTGTAGGCCGCGGGGCTCTGGCAGAGCAGAGCGTAAGCCTTGCGTTTGTCACTATTCGTGTAGCGTCTACCCTTGGTTCGTTTTGTCCCGATTTGCAGCTGACTTTCAAAGAAATGCAGGGTGGTTTCGTCGAGGTATTTGGCCGATTCTTCGACGATGTCTTTAACCGTAACAGTGGGGTCTTTCGTTGTTTCAGCGCTGGCCTTTAAAACTTTGACCTTCTTTTTGAGTCGAAATATTTTGACCCGGTCTGTGGACTTTGCGAGATTGCACATTGTCGCAACCTCTGCAGTGTCTGGAGGGGCTTCTGTGAGTGTGAGCACTGAAAAGAGACAAGTCAAAACAAAATACAGAAGCGTTATAACGCCTCAATTGAGAAATAGCGATCATTTACGGAAAAAAAGGTAAAAAAAAAAAAAAAAAGGTGAAAACTTTCTAGTTGAAATTGCTCAGACATTTAGCCCAACCACCCTGAATCCTTCAAAATCCTCTTTGCCAAAGTGGAGTGATTTGGAGGATTGAGTTCACATGGCAAAAGTGCGTTACTGATTTTGTAGGATGCACTTTGTCAAGGTCTTGGGCTGGACCTTGTCTTGTTTTTGCTCAGCCATGCATATATTTAAGCCTGGATTATGCTTGAAATCCTCCGTACTGCTCCAGGATGTCACTGGCCAAGCCTCAACATATTGACAGTCACTGCCGCAGGATTTTGCAGGATTCAGGCAGTGGTCACCCCTCCACGGACCATATTCAAGAAATAATGGAGGAATTTGCTGGATTGAGGCTATATGCTATTTTTCGATGAGGCCAATTGGAGGATTGTGAAGGAATGGGCTACATCCTAGCAAAAAGGCCTGGAGAGTTAGGGTTAAGAATGAATGAGACTGGAAAATAGGGCAGTGCTTCGTAGCTGACTGAATTTATCACATGGGCAATTCCACGGTTACTCACGTTACATTTTTGACGTACTTTTGAGTTTCCTTGAGCTGTAATTACCTTACTGAAAAGGTTTAATAACTGTTATCCCCATGGTAGATGGAGTAGACATAGACCTACCTAAGCACCAAAGATGACATCCAGAAAAATGTGTTATGTATGATAAACAAGACGCACAAAATCGGTTACTCACATTACATTTTCGTAACGTGAGTAACCGAGTTTGTGCGTCTTGGTTATCATACACATTTTTCTGGATGTCATCTTTGGTGCTTAGGTAGGTCTAGGTCTACTCTATCTACCATGGGGATAACAGCTATTAAACCTTTTCAGTAAGGTAATTACAGCCCAAGGAAACTCAAAAGTACATCAAAAATGTAACGTGAGTAACCGTGGAATTGCCCACATGACAAATTCTGTTGTTTCTCTTTTCGAATGGAAAAAACATGATGAAAAGTAGGCACCGGTACTGTAAGTTCAGGTTTGTGAGGAAACATCACTTCGGGCAATGCTTAACCTCAGGGGCGTATGACATACATTGTAACCACTTCTATGACGTATTTCCAACAACAACAAAAACAGCTTTAAATCCCATGCATAATTTACTACATGTACATGTAGGAACCATACCCATCGTGGCAAACTCCAACACAATATGTGACCTACTGTGGCAAAATGAGGAATGTCTCCTAAAACCATGTTATGAGTAATCAACGCCTGAAGTTGCATGCACTAGAAATATCATGTCAAAATCGATATGTTTTTTTTTTCTTATTTTTGAGTAGCCAAGGAATCCAAGACTCACACTATGTATTTTTGTTCGGAAAAAAATACTCCCAAAAGCTGGAAACTGAAGAAAGTTTTCAACTGCCGTTGGAGGCGAAAATGCATATCGTCATCGACACCACGAAGTAACACTCTACCGTGTTAAACCATACTTTTTTCGATTTTCAGTTTTGGATTTTTAAACATTATTCATCAAGGCCTACCATTGCACAAAGTTTCAAAGCTTCAAGAGCTTTACTTTAATAATTACGCTAAGTATCCATGGCAACTTTTGCGCAAAAGTGACAATTTTTGTTTTCATGAAGTAACACTCAAGTTCCATTTACCATTGCAATGCATGGCGCGCACTCTGCTCATAAGTGAGCAAAAAGGTTTTCACGAAGTAACACTCTTCTTGTAATAAGTTGTATGAGCGCGCGCGCTGACCTGAAATTGCACTTTCCTCGTGTTGAATACATTGAAGAGTGTTACTTCGTGAAAACGAAAATTTACAGTTTCGCAGCCTTTTCAGTTTCACGAACTAACAATCATCTTTTTCCTCTTATTTCTTGTTTATTTAATAAACAAACGGGTGTAAAACAGCAGATTTAATCAATTCAATTCATCAAGTGTCCACAACAAGAAACCCAACTGAAAATACTCTGTCGTTTTGACGCAAAGTGTTGTTTTAGAAGGCGTTCCAACTTTAGTTGCCGTTTTCTCCGATTGCTAGTTTTTACTGGTATGTAGATGGGTGTTACTTCGTGGTGACGATATGTCTTTTTTCAAAGCTGTTTTTCTTGAAATGAGGTTGGTGAAGCTCGGCGGGACACTGTTGAAGTTCTTGTGGCATATCTTTGGCATAAATTAAGCTACATAAAACAATTTGGTATCAATAGAAAGCCAATGATTTGCGCTTTAACATGGTGTACGTAACTTGAAAAGTCAACAGGTGGGGGTTATTCCTCATTATGACATGGCAGGTCAGATATGGGAAACTACACAAACCCTTTTTCTGACTTTGATCCTGGAGGTGTGCCAACCCAATGTGAAAGACTGTCAGTTTAGGGGTACCGTACCCATCCTGACAGATTCCAACAAAACATGCCATTGGGGTTTGATGGGCTGGGGTAGGTTACTGGGTTAAGGCGGAGCAATTTGGTTTTTTTTTTGTTAGGAAGATTTCCCATACCTGGATCAGTCTGTGAAGGCGTGGATTGTAATTGTACATCACACCTGCTGGCCTCACTGGTAGTGCTTGCCTCACTGGTAGTGCTTGCCTCACTGGTAGTGCTTGCTTCACTGGTAGTGCTTGCCTCAATGGTAGTGCTTGCCTCAATGGTCGTGCTTGCCTCACTGGTAGTGCCTGCCTCACTGGTAGTGCTTGCCTCACTGGTAGTGCTTGCCTCGGTAGTTTCTGTGGCCCTCGCATAGCTGTGGTCTGCTGGATCTTGTTCCGTATCCGGGCTCACGTCTAAATATTAAAGCGATGATAGTAAAGCGAGTTAGTAAAACATGCTCAACAAATGCTACACTATAGATCCTCAGCTAAGGCCATTCATAAATATATACAGTCGAGTCTCATTAATACAAACTCGTTCGGACCTAGCCAAATTGTTTGTTACATGTATATCGGAATTTTGTATTAAGAGGAACATCAGTCCCATTCATTGTGCACATAAATGCACAGTCGGGACCAAGGCCTTATGTTTGTTATAACCAGAATTTTGTATTAACTGAGTTTGTACTAACGAGAGTCGACTGTATGTGCTTGGTCAGTATTAATCTCTCTGTTTAAGACCGCTTGGAGTCTGGGTGCTGATAATTACCCGAGCCTTCGGCTCGGGTTATTATCAGCACCCAGACTCCAAGCGATCTGAAACAGAGTGATTAAAACCTCCCAAACACACATTTATTCCCTTATTTAAAAATTCTGACATCGACGGTGCTGATGTACGTGTACTGTAATAGACACACATTTCTCATCATACCTGAATCTTGCTCACATGTCTTTTCGGGGCTTCTTGTAGTAGTAGTAGTAGTAGTAGTAGTAGTAGTAGGCCCAGTGCTTCCGGTACCAGCACCTCTTCTCGCTCGCTTTCGCTTCGGAGGCAAGTCCGAGACACTGAACACAGTGGGAACTGCATTCCACACCAGTCTTCCGGTGCACAGGATTTGACGTTTTTCAAAATGCTCGGAGCATATCCTGCAGTTTCTGTAGCGGTAGTCCGCTGGCCTGTCACGTAGGTCATCTCGCCCTGTTGATACCACCCACTTAGCAGATCTGCGACCACAAAAAAATGGGGTACAGGACACATTAATGTCACTGATATTGTATACAGTGGAACGTCGCTATACCTGATATCGCTGTACCGAACATTCGGCTATACTGAACTTCGTACTTGGCTTCCGATTCTTGTGAACAAAACATACATGTACCAAACATTGTTGTTAAAAAATGCTAACAGAAGAGCAACTAAGAGGTTATTATTTCCAGACATCTGTCTGTTTGTCTTTCCACGACATCGCACCAGATGAAAATTAAAACCACTAGCGCACCTGAAAGCAGTATGATACCCACATACACCGTGCACTCTGCACAAAGGCATGTATGCAGACGACCAGTGGGTAGAGCAATTTCGAAAATCTATTGTGATGACGGGACGCGCTTCATGGGTATTAATAATACGTACAGAAGACATGCATGACAGCTGTGGCAATGGACGTTTTCTGGAGAATCGCCACCAAAATCATCAACAAATTCCATATTGTAGTCTTTCTTGTTCTGTTTGAAGTCGTTTATTAGCTTCATGAATGACTGCTGCATGGTATGAGATATGGATTTTCCTAAATCCCAATCTGGGTTGGGATAATACTAGAAGAAAAATTGACCATTTTTGTAATACACTAGACGATATACGGTCCTGGCTTTCGGGCCTCTTAAGTTACGATCTACTTGCCGCTAACGTACAGATAGTAGTGCCTCCAGCTCTAAATGCGATAAGCACTGGAGCTGGAGTTACTCAAGCTATCTCAACATGACTCATGAGCTGTCGCGCAACTACAGTGGAACGCCGCTATAACGCACATTGTGGGATCCACCGAAAGTGTTTGTAATAACGATCGTTCGGTACAGCGAGTTTGAACCGCCGGTACCCTCTTTTGACCAATAGTGAACTGCCATTTCTGCACATTTCGCGGCCGCACGAGGAGTCGTCATGAAACTCAGAAAGGGGTGGTTTTCCCGTTTATTCCTTGAGGAAATAATAGCCATCTATCGCTCTTAACATTTAAACATGATATAGGCCTAACCATGGGTCGTTTGATGTTCGGGAATTAAAAGTGGCCCAAACAGTGTTTAATACATGAACAACCGGTAGAGTTTTTGTTAATCTGTTGACTTTTTCCAACAACAATGTTCGGTACGTTTTGTACATTAAAACCGGGAGCCAAAGATGATGTTCGGTATAGCCGAATGTTCGGTATAGCGGTGTTCGATATAGCGGCGTTCCACTGTATATTAAATAGCATTCCTCAAGTTTTAGGTTTTTAAATCGAATCATTCTTTTTATTAAAAACTTTGGCAACAGCTCAATTCCAACCTAAGTTATGGCTTCGATACGTAGATGATACATTCATCATATGGCCACATGGCCCGGACAAGCTTGATGGTTTCCTCCGCCATCTCAACCAACAACACCCGAGTATACAATTCACCATGGAAACTGAGACATCCGATTCATTGCCTTTCCTTGATGTACTCATTTCCAAACGGGCCGATGGTTCACTTGGACACTCTGTGTACAGGAAACCTACACATACAGACCGATACCTCAATGCTCATTCATTCCACCCACCATCAGTGAAAACCTCGGTGAACCGCACCCTACTTCGAAGGGCACATATCATCAGTGATGATGAACACCTACAATCCGAACTGAAGCACCTCAATAAAGTGCTAAGAGACAATGGGTACAGACCTAAGAATCACAGCCTCGCACCGGATTCGAGCATGTCTCAGACCCTGAACACACCCGATATGCCGGTTGCAGTCCTTCCGTATATTGGCCATGCATCACACAAGATCCAGCGAATCCTCCGTGAAGCCAATATTAAGGTCTACTACCGAACTCGCAATAAACTCGAAACGAAATTGTACACCCACAAAGACAAGCACAACCCGAGAAGTCAAGCAGGAGTTTACCGAATTCCTTGCTCATGTGGCAAAGTGTACACTGGCGAGACTGGCAGAGACCTCACTACCAGGCTTAAAGAACACATAGCTCACGGCCGCAGAGGGGAACTTGACAAATCGGCAATTGTCAAACACTCTGCTGATCTGGATCATGTTGTTGATTGGGAACAAGCGGAAATCATAGCCCCAGAGAAACACTGGTACACCCGTCGTATCGGAGAAGCTATTGAGATCCACAAACATGACACTGTCCCACAAGATATCGGCTACTTCATAAGCCACATATGGCATTCAGTTATTCCAAGTTGCAACACCCGTGGCTCACAGCCAACTGACACACCTGAGCGAGCAGGACACTCAGCGGGCATCCCTCAACACAATGCCCAAGGCTCACAGCCAACTGACACAGTCGAGCGAGCAGGACGCTCAGCGGGCATCCCTCAACACAATGCCCATGGCTCACAACCAACTGACACACCCGAGCGAGCAGGGCATGCCCAGCAAGCACTCCTAATCCTAACAAACCCTACTTAAGGAGTAGCATCTCCAACTATCTTCAGTCTCCTGACAATAACTAGAGCAGGCTAGTCGAAACGTTGAGACCAAAGACAAGTTCTTTTAGAACTTACAGCAGGACTGTTCTAAACGGAACAAAAAAAACTACTTAGCAAGTTGATAATAAGCAGGACAAGTTCTTCTCAGAACTAATATCTTCTAAGCAGTAGTTATTACCACATGGTGTTACCGGGCAAAACCGAAACGATACGTATAGGCCTAATACCCAAACGCGAGTTTAGACATTTCCTATACTGCCCCACACAAAATTGTCATTCAAACGATTGTTGCTCTGTTCCAAACAAGCCTTTTCAGCTTTAAATCACTCCTAGATACATAAGTATGGATACATTTTCATTTCATTTCATTAAAAAATGTAAACATATCTACTAAAACGCACCTCACTTCTTGCAAAAGCAGAAAAAAAATCAGGCGATCGTGTAGTGCACGGTGTAGTGTAGGGCCCCTGTTTTGTTTTGATCAAATTAGAGTCAAAAATGTTTTATATTGCTCAAAAATAACCTTTACAATCAAAAGCAACTTTTCTTCATTCTAATCTAATGACACCCATTTTCCAATTTTGAACAGTTTCTTTGGGTAGAAATCACGATTTTCCTGCGCGGTTTGTGCCTTGCGATTCAGCGCGCTGTGCATGCTCACTTTATTTTCAGGTTGCGTGTTGTCACTGTCATCGTCATTTTACCCCCAAATTTCCCTCAAAAAATCAATACCCTGCCCTATATCTATGAGTATGAGTCATACCTGTTTATTGAGAATGTCGCCAACTAGTTTGGTCGGTCTTATAATTTTAAAGTGGATTTTGTTACCTTATTATAGGAACCGGGGCCTACACTACACGATCGCCGTAAGTTGTTACAGAACATGCAGGAACGATGCATCAGCATACCATTTTCTCTGGTTTTGTACTATTACAAGCGTTAATTTGATGTTAATTTGATGCATCTTTTGAAAATTATAATTTTTGGGTAGGCCTATAAGGACCTGGCTTTCGTTTTTAATCCCTGGAAATAGTTTTAGAGGATTTTTTTTTAAAGGGAAATAGTCCGGGGACCATTGATGTGATAGTCTGTTTGACGTTGAATAATAATATTACGTCAGGGAACCAGACAATTCCGTAACGTATTTTGATCGCGCGATATTTTTATGGCAGTGGATATTTTGCCGGAGACGGCAAACCTTTAGTAAACGTTAGTTTGCCGGATATGCACTGAACATGCGCAGTTACTGTTTTTTTGTACTTAAACATTTTCCGGTGACAAATTTCAGTCTGGCTCCATGCCAATATTATCGTAGTAACCTCGTATTCACAAGATGGGATTCAGACCATTTTATAATTTCGGACTTTATTTCCCTTTTAAAAAAAATCCTCCGGACCCACAAATCTGAAAAAGAAAATGTAAGACTCTGCAATAAAATGTTTGAGACATGTTAAAATAATAAAAGAAGAATATTCTTATTTATTTGGGGATGGGAAAAAAATCTTAAAAATGTGGCGGGGATCGGTTTCGAACTCGAGTCTTCCGCAGTAGAGCTTTTGCTTAACCACTACACCAAACGTGCTACACAACTTTTAGTGGGAATTTAATACATCTTATAATTCAGCCCTATCTTAAAGAGTACAGCGCCCTCTGTTGATATGGATTGTCGCCGGCAAACCTTTAGTGAACGTTAGTTTGCCGTCATTACCTCCGGCAAAATATCCACTATCTATTGGCATTTTATTTTTATTGTTTAGCTTCGCCTTACCTCTCACTGTCTTTTGGAAAACGGTAGAAAGAGTTATGTGGTGTTTTCTTCGGATTATTGGTGCAATTAGGTGCGGAGCACCAAACCTTCGCTCTTTTCTCCGGCATAGTCATGATTGTGCACTTACGACAACAAATCTTCAAACTTCGGTACTCCAGACATGTAGTATAGCGCCACCAAGCGGCCTTGGAAATAAGACAGGCCCCAATCTGATCCAAATTTCCTACCATCATCATTCGCTTTACGGGAGTCTGGGTAGCAAACTATTAATAATTGACCTTGGGAAGTTGGAAAGTCCCACGTGTGTACATATACGTGTTGTTTGACCAGGCTGATCTTGGCACGAAAATCGGGCCGGATTTTCGACTGGCCGGATTTTTGGCTAGGCACTATTTTTACGGCGGCGCACCGCCGTGAGGATTAATTGCCACTACGGTGGCCCTAAACAGTCATTGCAAATGCACATTAGGAGAAAACGAATTATAAAGGAAGTTCAACTTCTTATCACGGTGGATTACCTTAAATAACTGAAAATGTTGTTTATTCGACTCTAAAGTAAATCGTAATGAAGACTGTGGCAATTGTTTTTCACAATTGGGAATGTTAATGTTATAAATGTTAACGTTACTGAACTAAGGTTCTGCCTTATAGCCGATGAGAGGGCGCTATATCCGCCAGACTACTCCTTGAGTAGTGTTGCGTTGCGGGAAGGACCGGGTCCCATGCATGAGTCCCGGGGGGGGGGGGTTGCCTGATTTCATATCTTTCTTTCCTGTTTTTGCAAAACTTTCCATTTTTTTCATAGAAATTAATACTCATAAGGCCTGGCCGTGATCATCTTTTCCCAAAATACATGGTTGTTTAGTGCCCTCTACGATACTTTTATGACACGTACGTACACAGGTATTATAATAATTGTAAAATGATTTTGTACCCTCCTAAATGCCGGAAATTTCCCGTTCCAATTGCTTACACGGGTTCAGGGACATCCAAAGTGTATTCTATTCGCGCCCGGAATAAATCGGTATTGAAACAGAGTCAGCCCGATTGAATTAATCCAACGATTGATAATTAACGTACAAAACAGCCGTTTTCCAAAGAAAATACGGATATCCCATTTTGAAATGATTTTGTACCATCCTAAATGTCCGAAATGTCCCGTTCCAATTGCATACACGGGTTAAGGGACATCCAAAATGTATTCTATTCGCGCCCCGAATAAACCAGTATTGAAACAGAGTCAGCCCAATGAAATTAATCCGACAATTAATAATTACGATACAAAAGACCGGTTTTCCAAAGAAAATACGGATGTCCCATTTTGAAATGATTTTGTACCATCCTAAATGTCCGAAATGGCCCGTTCCAATTGCATACACGGGTTAAGGGACATCCCAAGTGTATTCTATTTTGCGCCCCGAATAAATCAGTATTGAAACAGAGTCATCCCAATTAAATTAATCCAACGATTGATAATTACGAAACAAAACAGCCGTTTTCCAAAGAAAATACGGATATCCCATTTTGAAATGATTTTGTACCATCCTAAATGTCCGAAATGTCCCGTTCCAATTGCATACACGGGTTAAGGGACATCCAAAGTGTTTTCTATTTGCGCCCGGAATAAATCAGTATTGAAACAGAGTCATCCCAATTCAATTAATCCGACGATTGATAATTAACGAACAAAACATTCGTTTTCCAAAGAAAATACGGATATCCCATTTTGAAATGATTTTGTACCATCCTAAATGTCGGAAATGTCCCGTTCCAATTGCATACACGGGTTAAGGGACTCTCAAAGTGTATTCTATTCGCGCTTGGAATAAATCGGTATTGAAACAGAGTCAGCCCAATTAAATTAATCCGACGATTGATAATTAACGAACAAAACATTCGTTTTCCAAAGAAAATACGGATATCCCATTTTGAAATGATTTTGTACCATCCTAAATGTCGGAAATGTCCCGTTCCAATTGCATACACGGGTTAAGGGACTCTCAAAGTGTATTCTATTCGCGCTTGGAATAAATCGGTATTGAAACAGAGTCAGCCCAATTAAATTAATCCGACGATTGATAATTAACGAACAAAACATTCGTTTTCCAAAGAAAATACGGATATCCCATTTTGAAATGATTTTGTACCATCCTAAATGTCCGAAATGTCCCGTTCCAATTACATACACGGGTTAAGGGACATCCAAAGTGTTTTCTATTTGCGCCCAAAATAAATCAGTATTGAAACAGAGTCAGCCCAATTAAATTAATCCGACGATTGATAATTAACGTACAAAACATTCGTCTTCGAAAGAAAATACGGATATCCCATTTTGAAATGATTTTGTACCATCCTAAATGTCCGAATTGTGCCGTTCCAATGGCATACAGGGGTTAAGGGACATCCAAAGTGTATTCTATTTGCGCCCCGAATAAATCGGTATTGAAACAGAGTCAGCCCAATTAAATTAATCCGACAATTGATAATTAACTTGCAAAACAGTCGTTTTCAAACGAAAATACGGGTATCCCATTTTGAAATGATTTTGTATTATCGTAAATGTCCGAAATGTCCCGTTCCAATTGCATACATGGGTTAAGGGACTCTCAAAGTGTATTCTATTTGCGCCCATAATAAATCAGTATTGAAACAGAGTCAGCCCAATTAAATTAATCCGACGATTGATAATTAACGTACAAAACATTCGTCTTCGAAAGAAAATACGGATATCCCATTTTGAAATGATTTTGTACCATCCTAAATGTCCGAATTGTGCCGTTCCAATGGCATACACGGGTTAAGGGACATCCAAAGTGTATTCTATTTGCGCCCCGAATAAATCGGTATTGAAACAGAGTCAGCCCAATTAAATTAATCCGACGATTGATAATTAACTTGCAAAACAGTCGTTTTCAAACGAAAATACGGGTATCCCATTTTGAAATGATTTTGTATTATCGTAAATGTCCGAAATGTCCCGTTCCAATTGCATACATGGGTTAAGGGACTCTCAAAGTGTATTCTATTTGCGCCAAAATAAATCAGTATTTAAA